CCTTCTGGTTACTGGCTGCAGTACAGGTCATATATCCAGCCTCCTTCATTTTCATGGAAGGGATATGGACCAAACAAAATATCTCAAATACGGTTTCTATTATTTGAGGTAATTTTACCACACTGATGTTTTTTCATTCTTTACTGAAAATTTGGTTTTAATTAGTTGAGCTGTCATGACTGTGAAACATCATGATTGACAACTGAGGCTCACGGTTGGTCAAGTATCGGCAGGACCTTGCAACAGATGCTCCATCCCTCTGATCACTACTGTGCAGACTCTGGCTCCAAATCATGTCATCAGCATAAGATGGCAGAATTTCTATTTGGGATATTTTGGCTTCAAATTTGGATAGTTGGAGGAAGTGGAGATCTGTTGTACATCTTATGTTTTGTCACTCATAATTTGTGAACATTTATTTAAGTAACATTCTAAAGGAAACTTTTTCTGCTGACAAAATCTTTTAGTATCTTTGATTAAAGTGCAGACATGATTCTTTGCTGTCTCCTAATATCTGTCCACTTGGCATATTTAAGCTTGTGAAAATACTTTCACAGCAGATATACAATTACACCATATTACAGAAATGTTAGCCTATGATTGATGAAACCGTTTCATCTTTGAGTTTTTCTATGCAGATAATAGTTGGAGGCTTGTTTGGTTCATGTACAGCATTTAATGCTTGACAGAGGGCTTGTCAAGAGCTTCCTGCAGATGACCTCCCAACACTTTCTGCAGGTTAATGCGTTATGCAGGGATACCTGCTGGAGCTGAGCAGTGGTTTCTCCCTGCCGTCCTCACAGCAGATGGTACATGGCCAAAAACGAACTGCTGGAACAGTAACATGTTTCAAAAGCTCCTTAGAGGACTTTGAATGTGTTCTCTCTTACCACAAAATACATCCTTTGTTTCATCCCACCCCTGCCTTACTTGGCTATGATTTGTGGAAAGTTACATCTCCTTGGGCAATAAGCTTCAGCATGTAGGGCTTCCAAGAAGTATCTGGTGATGACTTCTGACATCAAGATATGGGGCTATGGCTATTGTGACTCCATATGAAGCATTCAGTATCACTAGACAGCGGAGGCCTTACACCCAGATGGGATGTTCTGAATCTCTCTCTCACTTGGGTGAACACTCCCTTGCATTGTTTTGATTTCTTGCTTCAGATCTCATGCACTTTTGAGTAACTCCCTCTTGACATCAACAGTAGCAGTAATGGGCAGAGAAAGATTATTTTCTCAATTCATAAGAAAACTGAGCTCTTGTGCCTGCTTGGCTTAAGATCTACAGCAGTAACTCGTAATGTTTTCAGTGCTGTGAGATGTTCATAGACATCACTGTTTGAATTTGTGTCTGTTGTGTATGTTCTTGCATGTTTTTATGGATAAAACAGGAGGTTGTGTTTTCTTTATTCTGTATATTAATTACATTAAAGTTGTTGGACTAGTTGGAGTTTTGATGAAATTAAATGACATCCACCAAAATTCTGTCAAATTAGTCAGAATATTTAAACTCTCTTGATTTGAAAGAAAGCCATTGTTTGCTAACGTATCAGCCACGATGACTTCAAAAGCTGGAAATTTGATGGCGGTTGTATACCTGTCAAACTTGTGCAAATGGTTTTCCACCCACTACGAAGTCAAAAATCCATCAATATATTTTATAATGTTCACATGGCTTGCAAAATGTGAAAAGTTATGTTACAGTAAAAGACTATTTGTAAAGATGAACAATATGACAGTTCCGAAAAAGTGAAGCCAAAACGTTTCAATTGTCCCCTGGTGGCTACAGTTTCTCAAAGATGGTTTCTGTCATTCTAGGTAGTTCTTCTCAGACTGAAGTGTTCATTTCTCTGGCATGGTTTTAATTACTTATTTGATGCTATACAAATAAGGTGAACGTCATGATGACAGCTGAGATTGACTTTGAGTGTGTATCTGCAGAACCTCCAACACATGTGGCTCCATCCCCTGATCACTAATGTGCAGAATCTGGCTCCTGGATAATGTCAAGAAGTGAAGATGCATTGACCATCTTATGCCTGGAAAAACAGTTAAAGTTAATAGTCATTTAAATAAAGTTTGGCCATTTTAAAAAACAGAATCATTCACTTCTTACCTTGGCCATTGAACTAATGCTTAAATAATGATGCCTCAGGAACAAGCAGTTAAGAAGCACTTAAATAAAGCCCCCAGAGACCAGGCTTGGAGGTCTCTTACTTGACAACATTCTAATGGTGAGTCTCAACATGAGGCATGCACTACGCCTGGACTCTGACAGGGGGTTGGCTTTTTGCTTCTTTACATCTGATCCGAGAAGACTTGTCCTGTGTCTAGCCAGAGCTCCTGCTGTAGCCTGGGGTGGCAGCCATATATTGCACACAAACAGATAATCCTGGGGTGATTGAGGTAATTGCTTGCAGTTGTGTCGGAGTGTTGGCGAGGGCCCTGAAAAGGTGATGTATGTGCAGCTCCTGTTGAGTATTGATTTCAGGCTGCTCTAAACAGTGAGACTCCGTATGGTTTATATGGTCTGGAGGAGGGAGAAAGATTAGGATTTAAAAACCAAATTTGTCACACTCAGTTCTCCTCTGGTCTCCCTAACACCATTCCCCCCTTACTGACAGTGAGTTAAATAATCTACATGGCAATTTTGGTTAGCAGCAAAGCATTGGTCTTGAAAAATCAACAAAAAGAGCCCGACTCCTTAACTACCTTGGCACACTGCCTTGATTCAGAGCACCAGACCTTCATCTTAATTGTAGGTTCCTCCCTGATCTATCATTTGTCTTACAAGCTGACAGTGGGAGATTTTTGAGCTATGAGTATGTACCCACAATACTGGCTAAAACAATTCTTGTTATGAAACTTTTCATGTTTAAGGAGAATTCCTGTATGTTATAATGTCAGACAAAGCCCTATAACTTTTTAGTTTCCCCTGCAATTTGTGTCCTTTATTTCAATAGAGTTTGATGGTCAAGGAATGCTGCCTTTTAAAACATTCCTTTGTTGTACTATCTTGTTAAGGTGCTTGAGGGAATTACTGCGTCATCATAATGTAACCCTGTATATCCTGTAGACCTGCTAATGCTATAAAACAATATAAAGTCAGTGTTTGTGTTAATGTTTGTATAGTTTGGGACAGAGAGAAAGTCTTAATGTCAAATGCAAACATTTGCAATGTATCCAACCATGGAATTTCACTTACTTTGCTTCACTTAATACAGTAACTCATTTCATGAGCCTTGTTCATTGATATTTACATCAGCAGTGCTTTGTAGACATTTTCAAGCAGCAGTAGAAGGCATGGAGCTTAATTTCCTGACTTGAAAGAAACATAGGTGGTGGTAATTGACTTAGGAGAAGTGATGGAGGAAATCAATCCAATGAGCTTTTAATCGCCTTTAATGAAAGCAAGGCTTGTTTCTCTTTTATTAGAGTTTAATTGATGCTAAGTCATTTAAGCACAAACATTTGGTAGATGTTTTGTGATGTGTGGTTTGCCTGTGTTGAAAAGAAGAAGGGACTGTGATTGCAAACTAAGAGGAAATGACTGCTCAAACCAAGGAAGTATATCTTTTTCAGATTTTCAGATCAAGAGCTGCTCACAGGATGGATATCAGATCTGGATGTGTGATAAACTCAGTGTTAATGAGTTTCACAGGCACTTTAGTCTAACATGGACTGTCTGACCCTGTGTCTGCTGCTGAATACTGTATATGCAGCACAGGAGAAATGTAGGACACCTATTGTTAAAGGCTACTTATTCTTACTCCCTAACTCTTTTATTCATTGCTCCCTATAAGTCTCAGTATTTGACTCTGGCAATATATTTTCTTATTAGTCTATAGTATCCCTATAAAAACAAATTCTAAAGATGGACAATGTGAAGGTTCTGTCGATACACAGGCCTGTCCAATCGTGAGTGAGTCTCAGCAGTCAATCATGATGTTTCATCTACCGGACAGTGTGTATTACTGATGTTATTCTCTAAGTACTAATATCAGTACAATATACATGATATCATTTAGTTAAATAAATTAGCATAAATATCATGGCTTTGTCTCTGTGTCAGTAGAACATGCCACCTACGTCACAACGTTGCTTGATGTAACATCCTAACATTTCTGTGTATACATAAATGGATTATTATGTTAGCACAGGTGTTGGTGTAATCGGATATAGTCCCCAATATTGTCAGTATAAAAATCATTTTCCAAACCAGAGTGAAAATGAGGATTTTCTCCTCTGTTACATTCAGTAGTTCAATGGTGAACTGGAGATCTACTAGGTGACCACAAAATGGATTCTGGGATAGCTAATGTACACAAACGTTGTCTTGTTGCGTAAGTAGGATCATTATGCATTCTGTATTTAGGACTGGATGGTTCAAGGTATGAGGTAACATACAAACCCCACAATCTGCGTTCCACTGCTAATACACTGGTTAGTTTGTGGTTGTGCCATGATGATAGCATTTGCGGTGCATAGCTTGAGTCTGACACAAGACATTTTTGGTCTGTTATTAGTAAGGGTTTGGTGGTGCTACTGTATGTTTTTTTTAATTTCAACAGTTCTAAATACCTTTCAAAATCATGGTGAGCATAATAATGTGATGATGTTATGCATCTGTCTGCCTCTTTATTTTCCCTTTCATGACCTTTATACTTGTCGGTTCATTATTCCCTTCTCAATCAAGCAACCCCATGCTAGTTACCTTATGCATTTCATAAAATCAGCTCTGTACAGCTCAGCTTCAGTTCATTACAATTCTGATTTTATTTGTTCCACATAAACACATATTCACAAAAAAAAACAAAGGTGACCCCTTTGAGAATGTTCACCCAGTCTGTCTGAGTTGAATGAGTGTGTGAGAGAGTATTTCTGCCTCCTGGGTCAGAGTGGACCTCCTTCTTCTTCTACAGTCCCCTCCTACTTCCCCAAGATATAGGCAGCGCTTTAACTTAGACTGAGAGTCAATCAGAGTGGGATCTTTAACTGTGCCTGCCACTGGGTCTCTTTGCCTCAGCCCACCACATACACATTCACAGCAGTTCACACTCACACACACGCACCCGCACCCGCACCCACACCCACACACACACACACACACACACAGACACACACACACATACACACATGCACACTTGCACCGACAAACATATGGAGTACTACTGCTTCATCCTGCTCTGGATCTGCAGCCAGCAGTTAGGTGAGTGAAAGGTGTTTATGTATGTGTGTTAATGTTAAAGTGACAGTGTGTATGTGTGTTTGGCTTTACTTTGATTGTGTTGTGCTGACTTATGAATCTGACCTTCTTTCTTTCTTTGGAAAGTATCATAAAGTCATAATAACTGTTAATTATACTTTGACCGGTTCCAGCAGATACAGGAAACGTTGACTCTGTTGCTTTTAAAGGATTGACATAAATAGCTAGAGGGAAAAAGTTTTAAAAAGAAGTGACACTGAATAACTTTTTATTTGAAAGTTGAAGGATGTGTTGTCACCCTCAGCTCTACGGAGGTGCTGTCCCTCACATGTTCTCTGAAACTTTCTATGAAAGTTGATACTACTAACTATCTGTTCACCCACAAGTTTCCAGTGACTGGAGAGTAATTGGTGCTGAGCCAGAACTGTGTTCAATTACCAGTGAAATCACTATAGCAGCAACACATTTTGTCTGCAGGAAAGAAAGTGCGAAAGAGACAAAATTCTACATCAAGTGTTCACTGCATGTGTGAATAAAACCAATCAAACCTGATGCATTTCCCACATTGAATATACAGTAAAAAGTTCAGTAGCTGGTGTCGTGCCGCATTCAATTCTCTATATGGTTTGGTTTTGAGCTGTGAAGCTGTTAACTGTAACCACATTGTTCAAATGCACTACAGTGAGACAACCTTTCCATAATATGGATATTGTCATTATGGCTGCATATGAACATTTTGTTTTCCAAATTTTCTCTAAAGCATTATTCACTCCTGTTCTGTTAAGCTGCATCATCCCGAGGTAATACTGAAGGATTTGAGGGGTAATAAGGCTGCAATTGTTTTTAGATGTAGTAGTTCATTAATCTTGAATTTGGTTTGGTAAATAAAAGGCATGGGGGAGAGGAAATCTGTAATGTAAATATTTGGTTTGGTTTTGGAATTTGTTGGAACTCACTTTTGGACTGATGCCACAGTGAGGGAGACACTGACCTTGTAGCTGGAGTCTGCGGAGAGAAGATTTGATTCTGGCTGTGGTGGGAGATGTTTTGGCAGGCACACAAGAGGGAGGTTGTATTTAAGTCTGTTGTTTGAGTGAAATCCTGGGACTTCTGGACCAATGATCCCATTTCCTGATAAGTGTGAGTATAACCATGTCCTATAGCTCATCTATATGAGGTGGAAACAGCTGGAGAGCATCTCCTCAGATAATACCTTTCGACATGTAAGTTTAACCTAATATTCGTATATATTCAATATTACACTATCCTTTTTTCATCCATTAATCAGACATTTCCTCATAAGCACTTTCAGTTTCATTAGTAGATTAAAAGGATTTTACCTATCTGAACTTATAATTTCATCCTTCTCAGCGACACTAAACATAGGTACTCAATACAGGGCTGATAAAATAACCCTAACCCTAACTCTCACATGAAGTGGCCATTATTGGAGTCCCCCTGAAATACAAAACCTGTGGTTCATTAGGGAAAATGTTATAGTATGCCAGAAAGTGACAAGATTGATTAGACAATAATACTTTATAAAGTGTTGTGATAATTTATAAAGGGCCCAATACATTATTTTCCAATGAGTAAGGTTCAAATGCCTTGTCACACTTACATCATGGCCGCTTCCCGGTGGAAAGAGTTTTGGTTTCATCCTCCACTTATAGCATTTATTGTTTTCCAAACCCATTCCTATCTGTTTCACCACTGAGTTAGTTGATACCATAGCACAAAGCTTAATGAAGAGAACCATAGTATTTCTGTCTGCCATATTGTTGCTCACTGTGCATAATATTTATCTTTATACTTCTAGCTGCATTTGCCATTTTTCCCCACTAGGGGACAGATAAACTCCAAAACAAAACGGCAGACACTCTTTCCTGTCATAATATCATCTTCTGCTTTTGTTATGGCTAATATGTAGCAACATTAGCATTAATTAAAGTGATCATTAAAAGATTCCAATATTACTCTGCCTATAGATCTGTTTTGCTTACTTGCGTTGTGCTGGTCATGTTGTGAATGTATGTATATGGTGAAGGTTTGGTTGGGTTTTGGCACAAGAACAGCATGGTTAGGAATATCAGGTAGTGTTTTGCATTCCTAGTTAAATGCCCAGTTAGTTTAACAGAGACATCTGGGTTTTGGTTTCATGGGTAATCATTTTAACAAGAAACCAAAGTTGAAATCTTGATAAATTACACTTTAAAATGAGGATTTTAGTTTGATGAGAGTCTGAATCTGAATTTCTTATTCCTTTTTTAATGATTGCAGATGTTTGTGCTGTGTCAGGTGTCTTTCTTTTCCACATAAGTAGGGAACAGTATCAAGGTCCATTCATTACACATGCTCGACCAATTTAGAATCAGCTGTCAATCTTGATGTTTCACTCCATTTGTTTTACCTCAAATAAGTAATTGAAAGCAAACGTACTGGAAAAATAACACTTGAACAAACATCAGTGGGACAAGAACTAAAATTACAGGAACCATCTTTGAGCAAAATTTATTTGACATGTACTTTGACTTTTAGTTTGCTTCCTGTCCCATCGAATAACATAGAGCAGGTGGGATTTATGACCTACGCTGCAGCCAGCCACCAGGAGGCTTCACTTTTGGGAAGCATCCATCTTTATATACAGTCAATTGTCAGCATTTACTGACATTTAATATGGTAGCAATAGGTATCCAAGTTGTAGTTATAGTTAAAATGTCTCATTATTAAAAAAAAAAGTATTTTTTGAAATAATGTGAGAATGTTGGGAAAATATTTGCTCATTAATCAAGAGAAATTTGGTTTGACAGCATTTATATTTGTTGGCTGTTAAAAGTTTCAGTATCGCAGTTAATATTTCATTGGTCAAAAGAAATGAATCCTCCCCCTTTAAAAAAATCCACATCATGAAATAACAAACTCACCACTCACTAACTCTGCAAAGGTCTTGACACTGTCATGTAGTTGTTTGTGATAGCTGGTGGTTTACATCCTCCATTAAGCTGCCACAGAGATGTGGTTTCATTCCCTGGAGGTGCTTTTGTTGATTGTTAAGCAGTGCCCAGTTGGCTTTTGTGTATTGGGAACATCTGGTTTTAGATACCCTGTGCTTCTCTGAGTATTTGCACTGGCGTGGGGTAACACTGATATAATGTGCCAAAATTTTTGAAAGTATATTGCCCACTGTGAAGGATCTTTCCAGAGAAAACCGCTAAAATGGAAAGTCAGAATAGATCAATGGACAGTACATTGTGTTGCCATCGAGGTTTACTTCACGTGGGGACTCTGTTATCATATTTGTTAAAAAGTTGCGCCACTGGCCGTGTAACATCAACCAGATGCCATCATACTGCAACGTCTACAGAATCACATACCAGAACTGAAAATGAACAGACTAAAAAGCAGTAAAGAAGTGTGTTTTTCATAAATCCAAACCGTCTCACTCTTATAAAATTACTTCATTATGCATTTCTGAGATGAGGACGTCTCCAAGCCAGCAGTTTGCACAATGCACCCCCACGGCTGCTCTATGTCAGTGTGTCTGTGGTGGAGCTCCTGCAGCTTGATGTTGATCCAAAGGCAGCAGCGGGCCTAATGTGGGTCACACCGGCAGCCACCGGCCTGAGGTTTATTTATCTGGGCATGGAAGCCGGTACACAGGAAACTCAGTAGGAATCCAACATTGCCTCAGAAGCTGCTGATATTACTGGGAATATTAAATTGCTCTGCTACATTAGTAGAAATGGAAACTGGATCACCTCCATTCTCATGCTTTTCACCCTGACACTTTCCCCTGTGCCCGTCTTAGCTTTCGCTCATTTCTTGGTCAGGCTTCAGCTTTTCTGTGATCGCATCTTGGGAAATTTATTTTCCGCGCTTAGAAGTCATCCTAGCATTAAATCAGCTTCTGAACCGGAATATTTACAAGCTCCAGTTGAAAAGCAATGGATGCCAGAAAGATACAGCTCACTGCCCTCCATTTGTAAAATAGTCACCTACTGGTTTCTTATTTATTTGTTGTACACCTATCTGTTCCCAACCATCTATTTTCAGCCAACGCTTTAATGTTTCTAGACAAACAGAAACTTTTGGAGGAAGTTTGGTGGCAAGATGAAAGACCAGCTGAACATGTGATCCATTCATACTACAGGAAATGAGCAAAGTGGAGCATGTGTCAATATTTACATGAAATCTCTGCATGGCAGAGATGGCTTTTTAGTTTAATGGAGGTTTTCATGAAACAGAACAAATGGTCTGTGGTTGTGGCAATCAAGGTGTGATATACTCCTGGACACTTGACAGTCAACGATGAATGAATTCACTCTGTGGTCACTTCACTCACATAATGTCCTGTGGTAAAATTGTGGCACAATTGTTTTGATGGTGCCTGCAGCCGGAAAACTCTCTGTTTCAGTCCAATGTCCATGGATACTTGCAAAAGAACAGCAGGAGAAGTTATATGGTTTACTGTTTGTTGACACAATCTGTTAACTTTCCTAAATAGTCACTATCTGAGGAATGTTGATGATGTTGCATTCTTGTTAAATGACTGTTTTCTGAGGGCGTACAGCTGCTCAAAATGTATCTGCAAATCAAACACAAACAACTGCACACCCAAACAAATTCTTCTTATCTTCTATGCAACAGAATGATTCTAAGTTGCAGCTCTTCGAACCGTGACTGAAATGTAACATGGGATATGTTCATAATATAGAATTAAATTAAACACATTTTACCTTTTCTTGACAGTTTCCATACACATCGGTGATTTCATAACTGGGGCTGGGTATCGATTTCAATCCAAATTCACAAGGCGTCGATCAGATTTCTGATATAATTCGATATCAATTCAATTTAGGATATTTAATTGTACAATGCCAAGTCTGCTTGGATATGAAAGAGATTCTCAGAGAACTAAAACATGTATTGAGTTATTTATCGATGATGTCAGATCATAAATCTGGATCGTTCGGGTCACCTAAACACTGATGTACTGGTTGTGTGCATCACTTATTGTGTGTGTTGCATGCACACAAAATGTTGGACTTTTTTTCAATGTGTTTAAATACGTGCCTCATAAACTCTGGAGCGAATCAAACAAACACAAAGTAAACTTAAGTTCTGTTCGGGTCCTAATAACTTGAGATAAGTGCTGGTGTTTATTGTTAAAGTGTAAAGTGAGAAGTGTGGCGGTAGGACACCCACACAGGATAAACTGACATGGCATAAACCAACCTCTGCCCTGATCCTGAATACACTGCGCTAATCGTTTTACATTTGTGGCCCGTCATGGAAACCCTGTATCAAACAGTTTTTGATGCCACTGTTCAACATTTACCAGCTCGTTCACAGACTCTCCTCTGCCTGTGTGTGTATGTGTGTGTGTGTGAGTGTAAACTCCACTAAGGAGATGAGATGAGGAAGCTACAAGACTTGATCAAATACACGTAGACACACCAGCTAAATTTTAGGCGCACTGGTGCAACCAAGGAACTTTTTTGTTGTACTTCACAGATTTTGGGTTGCGTGTGGTGCAGTGGCAGTTTTTAAGTGCGATAACCTGCACAAAACTTCACTCCTCTCATCAAGACAACCTGGACTTTGATTTGAACTCATCTGTGCTTTGTTGTGAGTTAAATTGAATTAGATGTTTTCTAACTTTGTCCAGCATTCATTCACCTTGTGGTGAGCATTTAACTGTTATTCCCCTTCCAGTGGAAAAAAAGGCTCACTTGGATTGACATGACCCCGAAGCCTAACAGATGGGGAGTGAGCTGTGAGCGACTTTAAGCGTGAGGGAATGAATATGTCCAACAGTGGGGGGTCTTGTGGTGGTTAAAAGCAGAGGCCCCTGTGCTCTGAGTTCAGCTGTGCAGCTCAAACTGTGAGAAAACACTTTTTTACTCAATAGTCTCCAACTTTTACAAGACAACCCACAATGTCTCATTGAACATAAGATATACTTCACTTTCCTTCACACATTCTTTTCTTCAAACATCTTTCCCCAATCTGAGTTGCTATATTCAGGGATTTAAAGGATCATTGAGCTCTAGTGGTAAGATCAACACGATCACTGACCTTACAGTAGCTGAAACATCAATGACGACGATCAACCCACACTTACTGTTAGTCTGGAAACTGGTGAAAACGGAGGATCAGCAGGAGATTAAGTAGAAGACAGATGAACGGAGAGAGATGGATGGAGAAGAGGAGAGTGGTAGACGATTACATATTTTCCCTCTTCTCCTCTGCCAAAAAGTAAATCCTATCACCTCCATGTCCTCTCACAGTCATCATGTTTTCATGGAAATTTAAAGCCAAATTATGCTGTCACTATTAGTAAGCCAAAATGGGGGGACTTGGTGACATACAAAATCTGACAAATACCTTCTCTGACTGGATCTTAATTGAAAGCAGGCATTCACTGCTGCTAAGATATAAAGTTAAATACACAACCAGGAGAACAGATGTTTTGATCAGGTCCGATATTAGCTTTCACTTTGTACCCTTTGTCTACAGGTCAAGTTAAACTTCACCAGCTCTCAATTCCAACAACACAGAACTCACTGCTGAGTCTCCTTACTGATCTTATTATTGAAGTGGCAAAATAATAGCCTCTGATATTGGCGGCTTTTACACATACCTTGTTTGGTCCAGACCTCTGAACTATTCAGTTTAGTCAGAACCAAAACAACATTTGTGAAATGTTCTTTTGACAATGATCCGGATCAACAGACCAGAAATTAGCTTGACCAAGAGAGGTGGTCTTGGTTTGGATCAAACTGAGCCATGGTTTGGTTTGTTTTTTTTGATAGTTCAGACTTTTGGACCAATTGTTGGAAATTGAGACAGCATTAAACAGTAGAAGAGGAAGACGCAGAAGCAGCTTGCTGGATAACTCAATCTAAAGTTTAATAGAGACATGAACCTACAGTAAATTGGTGTGTGTCTTGGTCCAAACTTTCAGGCAAGTTGATATAATAAAGGTTTTTTTGTAATTTCTACAAATGGAAAGAACTTCCTGCAGCTCCTCCAGCTCCCTCACCTTTACAGAGTAAAGAACACATCTGTCATCTGTTTTGAAGGCTTCTTGCATGTGTATGTTGTGATGAGATATGCCAGATTATTCATAGTTTCATACAATGCTGCTTAACCAAAACTCTGGCTCTGCAAATTTCCGATGGAAGAATATCAGTCAAATGTGACAACAGCACAGCTGTTCTGCTGAAACAATTAATTTTTGTTTCCTTTGTGGGAAGTCAGTGTTTAAACTGCCGCAGGGGGACAAACAGACACGAGACACGGTTGAGATATGTTTAGGGTTGAGTAATGATGACTTGCTGCTATTTGTTGCACTCTGGCCAAATGCTTATGTTTAATCAGTGTTAATGTAATCTGTGTTTCTTTTTGTACAAACATCCATAAAACAAGCTCAGATAATCTATACTAATGCTGTAGAACTACGGAACCTGGCATTAGCGGTAAAATGTAAAGCTCTTCTTTCAGTGCTGATGGAAACTTGTCTTTTCTTTCTTCAAGGATTCCATGACTGCTTCAATATTGACACAAAGAAACACAGGATAATTAAAGGCCCTAAACATGCCCAGTTTGGATACACTGTGCAGCAACATGTGGGTGCTGGAGGTGAAAAGTGGTAAGAGACTCCTATGATTTACACATTGCCGCTTTGCTTAATATTGTAGCTTAATAATGATTTGCACCTGAATTTATTGACTTCTTCCTTTGCCCATGTCCAGTTCTTCCACCAAGTTGTTGTAGTTGTGTAATTCTGCTGACAGAGAAATGGCAACAAAAACTTCTTGGCAGAAGTAAAAATGAAAAAATGAGTGATGAAATCTTAAATCCTAATCCTAAAGCAGCCAAGCACAGAGTAACATTGTTTGAAAAGTTTGTTGCAGGAGATCCCCCAAATGGGTTGCTCATTGTCCCAACAATGCATCGGATGGTGCATCACAGTTTGTTTCAATACTTCTTTGTGCAGACAGCATGAACTTTCAAGGCTTAATTCACTTCCATTGCAGCTGTAAATCTGTCAGTTATTTCCTGATAGATGTCTGGTTTCTATACAATTTAATAATTGTAATCAAATTTGAAATTATTCCGCTCTTTAAAGTCAATTAATTGAGTAGTTTTGAAAATCACTCACTATTAGCAATCTCCCCATCCATCATGGATCAAATATATTCAGTATTTATTTCTGGGATTGCAAACTATTCCTACAGCTTCAAGTTGAGTTCATTGTGCATCTGCCCTAGTGCCAATTATGTGACAGCCTCTAATAGACCTTTCCAGCAACTGGAAAAACTGCTGTATTGATAGAATTCCAGCTTCCAACTCCACAAGTACTTGAATTGGAGTGTCAACTTTTATCATGTGTACTTTATGACCTTAAACATCTGTATGTCTTATTGTGATGTATATTTTTTTGAGTTTCTGTAAACCTGCCAGAGTTTATGTCAGTGAGCAAGTACATTATGACTGTAAAACACATGCTGACAAGGTGTAGTGCTGAAAGACTGACTTGGCTGCGAGACAATAGGATGTCTCCTTTTATCTCTGGAAAGATAGTGATCTATTGTGCCTCTCCTGTGATGTGCAAAGTTTCCTCCCATAATTTGTGCTTGCAGAAAAAATTGTAGTCCTGAGCAGGATACCTCACATTCATCATCTTACCTCATAGCACAAGCGGACTCCTGACGCACACTAATATTACGCCAACTGGCACAAAGCTGTGGCCAAAATTAGTTTCTGGCATCCCCAATATGTCTGGTTGCGAGAACTGTTCTATGACCATGCAGAGTTCCAGCAATGCTGCTGTGCTGTGCTGTGCATGTGAATGTGTTTAAATCATAAGTTTTGTCTATATATGTTTTAATGTGACATGCAGACCTGCTTCATTGCATATATTTTAGCTTTGGCTGTTTCTTTAAATGTTTAAAACAACTTTTATTTACAAATTCCTGGCAAATGGCTTCCTGTAGTTGTGTAAATAATGATTGTATCCTCTGAGTGGCTTCATTTAAGGGTGGAGTCGATGCAAAATCGACGCTATCACATCCCGAGTCCTTCCAACACTCAACTTTGTTTGATCAGAGTTTTACCTATTCATACCGTAAACTGAATTTAAAGTTAGAGGACATAACTGATCCCCAAAAGTGAAGCCAAAGCATCTATATCACCACCTGTTGGCTGGCTGCAATATAGGTCATATACTCTGCCTCCTTCATGTTAGCGGATACAACGTGGGCCAAACTAAAATACATTTTTCTCAAAGATTGTTTCTGTCAGTTTAGGTACTTGTTATCACACTGCTGTATGTTCCAGTGCTAACTTTTCTGATAAGCTTGGTATTTATTTATTATTTGATGCTATAATAATTGGTGAAACGTCATGAGCTGAGACTGGCTCACGATTGGTCGAGGGACTCCAAAGAAGCAAGGTGGCTGCATTCGTATCTAGGATATTTTGGCCTGATTTTTGGATAGTGGGAGAAAGTGGAGACACGTTGTCCATCTTTATATTACAGTCTATGCTCCATACACACACTTACAAGCCATATTCAGACAGACAAATGAAGTGCGTGAGCACTGATTGATTTGGATCATTGTGTGAAGTCAAGATCAATATTTACATCTACACAATAAAGTGTCATCTGTAATTATGTCAATCTGCACTTTGTAACATGAACGCCACCACATGGTGACTGGTAAGAAAAAATATTCCTGGTGGTGCATCTCTCTCCTCTGTTCCCTGAACACCTGTTCAACAACATACAGCTTGGGTTGAGAGGATAAGTTTTATTTAAAGAAGTGCATAACCCTTTATGCCATTACATGCTGAATACAGCTAACAGAAAAAATAAGGACAATCCAACAAAGGTTTTACATCAAGTGCTGTAGGGTTAACATAAGGACACCTACGTATATGCGGTAAATAACATTCTGTGCTTAGTGTCCCATGCTGATTATTTTTACTGTTCCATTGGCAAGTTATCCATCACCTTGGAGCAAGATATGACGTCTGGTGTGTATGTGGAAGAGAGGGAGTATTGTATTCATATAAAGATGCTTTGGAATATTTAGCTTGGCACTGAAATAACTATATCCTGCTCGAAATCCCAGATCACAATGTGTGTTAGTAAACTCAAAGTTAAAAAAGCTAGAAAAACTCTGTGTGTATCTTGATGCGTTCTGGACGTCAAATCTTTGTGAGGCCCAGTTTGAGCCTTTAACCATGAGAGTGACACATGTTTGGAAAGTGTAATTTCTTCACAGAGTGATTTTAGGGTTAAAGCCTCTGCACACCTATAGTTTGATTATAGGTCAGCTCTTCTGTTTATTTCATAGCACCTGTTTGGTTGGGGTGACTTGTTGACGTGTAATCAGTCTTATTGGCACTCAGGGTTTGGTGACATCATGCATTCCCTCCATAGTACCACCATAGACTAGCTCTAATCATCCAGAGTCATTAAAAACAGCTGTGTGGGTGTCTAGAAGCTTTGAGACATTTAGGTTTTAGGCTCTGATGGTTAAAGGCAAAAACCAACAGTCTGTGCCAAAGATGTTGAAAAACTATTAAAGCAACCACACTGGTAGAGTCAGTGATGTTTCGTCATTATAATGAACACAGGAACTGTAGTTAATGAATGAGGCGATCGAAGAACCACCATCCTGCTGTCTTAAAAACTCTACAGCTGAAACTAATCCACTATAAATGATGGTGATTTAGTTGAATTTAACGTAAACAATAAAGGCACAGTAAATGCAGGTTGTAAAGATTTGTATGAAAATGTAAATATTTGTGACCGGTTGTTAAAGATTTGGTTTTTTAATAGGAACCACTCACAGGTAATAACCATTACTATCCATTGAGGTATAGGTTAATGGCTAGGGAATGCAAATGCATTTTCTTTGTGAACAAGAAGGGACAACGACATACATGAAGTTTCAAACTGGCAAAAGCTGCCAACACACAGAAGTCGAAGTTTTCCTCTGCCACTGGTCACACATGGACACTGGACATTTAAAATCCAGATTCTTTACCATTCCGAGCAACTGTCGGCTCACCACTACTTGAACTGAAAAGGTCTGATGAGGCTGACATGTGTGGAATAAAGGTCACTAGAGACACTGCCTTAACTGAGGTAAATGCCTGAGAACGAGGTGAAAAGATTTGCAGTGGAAGAATAGTGGAGCTCAGGCCATGCATACAGCAAACCACCAAATGGAGCTATAGGGACCAGGGTTTTGGCTTCTTTATTAGGTGTTCAAATGTCTTCTGTAAAGTTACATTTTTCATAAGCAATAGAAGTTCTGTTTCTATTTTGGGGCAATACAATATACCGCCTAGCCAAACCTTGTGGATCCAACACTACTGAGTCTCCCACGCTTTACACTTGGTGATTACTCGTCTGTCTGCTCAGTAGACAACTTACTCACCCAGCTGATTTAAGGTCTCTAAAGTCAGTGCAGCAGGATGCTTTGGTCTGGGTATGTGGACACACAGCTGCATTCGCATAATCAAGCAAGACTGTTTATTTGTGTACGTCTGTGGGAGTGTGCATAGTCAGACAGTTCACAGCAGGAAGAAGGAATGTCTCAGCATCTGAGGATACATGGGAAAAACGCAGCATTATCAATTTGATTTTATTTCTTTATTTTCTGACTAAGTCAATCATACTGTTGTTCAGGATATTGTTACTTTCACAAGTGTTATCTTATTTAAAGAATGAGAACATTTATTTGACAGTTGTAGAGGAAATTATAAATCATAGCATTTAATTAAAGGGCCCTGCTTTCTGCATTCAAACTGCATGGTCACTACTTCTGAAAAACATGTGTGTAGTAAAATCAGCTCTCTAAAATCAATTGAAGTAGAAGAATGAATTATACAGAACACAGACACACTTTATTTGTTATTTTCCATCACTACCAGATCAGTGAGTCTTTGTTGTGGAGTTGTGTCTGGGATGACAGTAACGTTAATTCATTACTTTACATGTTTCCCTCAAACTTAATGTGCTGATAGAGCAAATATTTCTGCACATGAGGACAGAATCTGGTCTTTTCTTTTTCGAGTCAATGAAAAATCCAACTTTGAAGTTACAGACAGCAACTCTGCAGCAAGACATGTGCTTGCTAAGTGTCAGCACTTCAGGGGGGCTTTCTCACTGATTGTGTGGGTTAGTGTGTTTATCTGATGGCCTGAGTAATTGTGTTCACTCGATTCAGAAATGTGAATTCACTTATACACAGAGATAAATAGATGGGGGAAGGCAAGAGACACAAAGGAAAGTAGGAAAAACACCACAAGCCCAATAGAAAACTGGAACACACTTTTTTAATTCTACTATAAACTGAAGAAAATAGTCTTTGTTGCCACTGACCATTCATGTTTTTACTTTCTAACCTCCACTTTTTCTTCAGGCCAAGAGGTTTCTCCTCAATTGAGCTTTCAAGAGTATTTAAATTTCTACCAACATTGCCTGTGAGAATCTGTGCCTAACTCCAGCACTGTCAATTTTTCCAGATTTGTCTGATTTCTCAAAACCCTCGGCTCTGTTTGGATAGGAACAGGATCACAGATGGAAAGTGACTCTGTATTAAAAAAGAAAAAAACCTTTTTATGACCCGATCTTTATGTAAGGCAGGCACGCAGTGAAAAGGATTTCTATTCGGAAAAATAGTGAAGGAAAATAGTATTTGCTGATTTTAGTAGGACAAGAGCTTTCATATATCTGGAATATTAAAACAGTGTGTAAAAGAAAACTTGCCTGATTCTTAAGATTGGTTTCCCCTTAGCACATTTTTTTTCATATCTAAATTTGAGTAAGTAAAACAAAAATATTTTGTTACTTTGATTTCTAGATGATGATATGTCTGTTGACAGTTTCTGTCTGTGGCGGCTGATGGGGCTGTCAAGCTAAGGAAAGGTCACTGTGTCAAGAATGTATCATTTCCTCACGTGTCCACGCAGCGATGAGGTGCTCTAAACACTCTGCCAGAGCAAAGCAGACTCTATGGGGAGCTGAGAGGAGGCCACATCACTTCCAATTGGCAAATAGCTTGGGCCTTTCAACTTGATGGGATACACGGACCTGCATACTACTCCCACTTTCTATTTCCACTGTTTATTTTTCTACAGTTCAATCAGGTCTTCTCAGTGGAGACCTGACCTTTGCTCTTTACCTTAGTTATAAGTTGCCCGCGACAAAGAACTACTGGGATTCTGTGAAATCTTTCACCACTGGCGTTAAATAGTGTTCCTTTTATTTCGCCTGTTTGCAGAGCTACAAAGAAAAGTGTTTTTTTACGCCTTCTGAGATTGGAAGGAAAACAGAACTCGATCTATCTATTTTAGTTGAGAAACAGCAGTCATGTTATTGTAATGTCTATACAAGTATTCAAGATACAAAGAGATGCTTGTTATGGGGCTGAGAAAAATTTAAAACTAAATTACTGAATAAGAAAGGGATCAATAGTCTAATCAAGCCTGCAGCTCTGTGAGGCTGTATGTAGGTGCAGTGATGCTTGAACTCAATGCTAAACTCAACATGCTAACACACACAATGGCAATGTCAAGGGGATTAAGGTTTAGTTGCGCTAACTTTAGGTTTGATGGTTACCATCTTAGTTTGAGATGTTGGCATGCTAACATTTGGCATAAATGGCACCAAACGTAATGTAAAGCTGAGGACTGTGAGAATGAAACCAAACTATTGGACAAATTAAAATGTTGACCTGATGATGGCACTACAGATGGAAAGGTAAGGGATCATCAAAGTTATGATAATCTACACTGAGCGCAAGTTGAATGTTTTATCTAAGTACATTCATTTGGGGAGAAGTGAGGGAATAAAGTCAGCAGGATTCATCCTGTGGGGACCAGTACTGTTTTTTTAATCCAATTTAATGATTGTGACGGAACAACTAACTGCCATAGCTTTAAAAATAAATAAAGAGAGCTTGATATTCCAGCTGAGAACAATCAAAATGTTTGTGGGTCAATGAGTGCTTGTAATTTCCTCTTCTAATAAACCTCTGACACAATACTTTCAAGTGAAACAGGCACATTAATTAATATTTTTGGAAAATAACTATGTGACCATACAATTGCCTTTATTTTTGTGGCAGCATGAGTAACAAAATAATTCCCTGTTAATTCAGACGAATGGAATGTGATGAGCAAGCGCAACATTGGAGTAGCACATTTGTGTTTGGGACAAGGATGTGGTTTTATAGCGTATACATCTCCTTCCAAATTTGAAAAACATTACAACATTAATGAGAGCCTGGGCTTGGGGATGGCGCTTCCTCAAACCCCAAAATCCTCGATGCTGGTAACAAATGGTAAAAAATAGTCCATGTATTGATTTTGGGTCAAGTTATTTCTTTCAGTGTCATTACAATTCTTCCACTGATGCATTGAGGCTTGCATTCAACCCAAATTAGCTCTGGAACATGATCTTTTAAACAGCTTCTGGTGAAATTCAGGAGGTACCGAGGCAGGAGTCCAAGTCAAAGGCAACAATGGTCCCTTTTCATCAAGGTATCCTGACCTGAACTCCTGCCGCAGTGTCCTCATGTCAACGGATTGCAGTAACTGAAGTAATAATCATGATATTAATAGCTATGGAACTGCTCTGTACTCTGCTGGAGCAACTGCGGTGAAAATGACTTCCAGTGTCTGTGAGACTTTAAGAGTTGGCTTCAGGAGCAATAACACCGAAGCTTACTTCCATATGAGTCGCTCTTTGATGTGACGTGATGGATTGTTTGAACAACATTTCCTCTTGACCTCAATTGCTGCTGTAAAATCTCGTCATTGCTGGTATGATTCTGTGAACGTGTCCTGAAAATACCTTCCATTATATGTCCAGCTGAGCTAAAGGAAATTCACAAATAAAGATGGTAGGTCTCATCACAACTAGAAAGACTGAAAGTTAATTCTCGACCTTAGCTGCAAAGTGTCAACTGTCAACTCTTATCTAATGTTGTTGTGCCATAGTAAATTAGATGAGAATGACACTGTCTTTGTATCTGAGCCTACTTAATACATTGCAATCCCTGGATCACCCTGGATTTACTCTGAAATCATAGTGCATATCCTGTTGTGTCATGCTAACCTTTTAGGAATGATCATCAGACTTTTCCAGCTAGATATTTAAAAAAGTAATTGTTTAGGACTTTGGAGCAGTTAAGAAACTCCAGGGACCTTAAGTCTGAAGTAAAACTCCTCAATTTAAAGATCTGTCTCTCTTTATTTGTAAGTCCCTGACCCTAGAAGGCCACGCAGGAGGTTGGCTGTGATCTGCTTTTTCAATAAAGTGGTGTCGAGTGTCTTTCCTTTGGGGCACAACTGACCTGGGAGTTGTTCCTTTGCTGCCTGCCTTCCCTGGGATTTTGACTTGGACACCACTGATGTTTAAATTCCTAGTTGACCTGTTGTATTTACTGAAGCTTTGCCAAATATGTGATATCTTGAGGACAGCCAAACACAAGCCATTGAATTCTTGGATTATAAACTTTCATCAAATAAAATATAAAAAAACAACTTTCAGACTTTATCAACTTGGGATCCCTTACTTGAATATAACTAAAGAGAAAAAGAACACGTTATCTGCTGAGATACTGTATAACTGTTAAAGGGACAGTGTGTAGAATTTTGTGACATCAAGCGTTGAAATTGCTTGTTGCAGTTGAACACCCCTCACCTCACCCTCCCCTTCCAAACATAAAAAAGAACCTGTGGTAGCTTCAGTTGTCATAAAAACTCAAACAATGTTTAGTTTGTCCAGTCTGGACTAATGTAAAAAACATGGCGGCGTCCGTAGAGAGGGTCCCCTCGATGAAATATAAAGTATTTAAATATAAAGGGCCTTTTCTGGGGTAAAGAAAACTACAATTCATACAATTTAGATGAAATGAACTAGTGAAAACATCATGAGGATTATTCTTCATTAAATTTCTGTCAATAATTCTTAAATCTTACACACTGGACCTTTAACACCTAAGGCAGTTGGACTTAACATCTTGTGATAGTGCAGCATTGAATTGGTGAACAATTTAATCTTAAGACATAAACAGAAATTGGATTTAAATGAATGAACTTAAGGATATTGTCATTTATGAAAACAGCAGCTTTAATCGCCTTTTTGTGTTTCACGTAAATAACTCAAAGATTTCTTATCTCTGTAATAAATTTGAAAAACGATACCCTTTAAGGCCTTTAAGGCCTTTTAGTGACATTTATAAGACCACACTGACCCTGCACAGGAACCCCACTGTTAAATCAAGTGCTCGACTGACTCCACTATGTCATGTGAAAAGAATGTCCAGCATTCAACAGTGATATTGGAGGAAACTTAAATCCCATCGTGGTCTATAATACCTCTTATTAGATTTCAGTTCAGTCATGTTGATTTCTCTCTTTGGTCCCAATGTGAAGATCATTGTAGCTTCTGCCCAGCAACAGTTTTCAGTTTTCTGTATTTTGAATAAGAAGTTCTTGGAGGCAACCTCTGATCTAATGTCAATGTCATAATTAATATGATAGTATGATGACCATACTTTGGTTGGGGCTCTTAAGAAAGTATGGTTTAAGTTTCACCCCATGTCCTCCTGCAGCAGCTGCAGGTTTGGTTTTGAATCGGCTCTTTGCTACATGTTTCCCAACTTTCTACCCATTCACATTTAGCTCTCCTATCGAATAAAGGCTTAATGCCCAAAATTATCTTTAAAATAACATCATTGTACAAATACGAGACTAGCACACAACCTGACCAATCAGCCACAACATTAAAACAGATAAGTGTATGACTATGCAACATTTGATTCCACATTCTGCGAATAAAGCTTAAGAAATAGGGTGGGATCAGATGAGTGGTTGTACTGGTCAGCTACTGGGTGTTGACTGTGTGGAACTGTGAATGACAGTGAAGTCTAGTGCTGCTGGACATGATTAAACATGCTTTGTTATCCTCTCTTGGAAAAATAAAGGTTTAAAATATTCCTGGTTGGCCCATATGTTTTGTCTGGGTTACTGATGTCAACAGTCACAGTCATATTCCCTCAGAGGATTAGCTACCAGGCAAAGACTGACTGCTCTTAAATGGAACAAAGGTAGTTCTCAGTCTGGCTCTATCATCACTATTCAACTGTTTATAGATGATAAATAAACAACTGTGACCTTTTATTAAAGCATACTTTAATACTGACATTAGTTTGAAGTGATTCTTACCCCTGTATTTTATTTTTTTTTGCAGGTTATTAGTGGGCGCCCCGTATGAAATGAATGGCCCTTACCAGACAGGGGATGTTTACAAATGTTCACTGAGCAAAAGAACCAATGGCAACGGTTGCTCCAAGCTCAACTTAGGTAAAGTATCATAAACAACACTAAATCCTTAAGACTGGCAATGATGAATGTGCTTAAAATGTGTTTGCATGTGTGTTTTAGATGTCAGCATGTTTTTTTTCCAATAAACATCATGGTGTGAGTGTGGGGACCATACCTATCATTCCACCTTTTACTATTATTTTTAAATGGTTTATGTATATTTCCACATGTGGGTGATGCCACACATCCCACCGCATGCTTCTTCATATGGGTTGCACATGTGTTGTGCTGCTAAGGTAGGCACATGAAGTTTTGTGAAGTAAACGTTTAGATCTGAGGATGTAGACACTGGTTCGCCTGCCCAGACAGCAATAACAAACCCAAGTCCCAGATGGTGGAACTTACGTTTGGTCTCCGGAGGACTGTGCATGTATTGATGTGTGTATGAGTCTGTGTATCTAAGATCATCTCAGTGAGATTCATTTTCCCTTAAGGAAGGATATCTCTGACCAACGTATCAGAGCGCAAAGACAAGATGAGGCTGGGAATGACGCTCACATCCAACCCCAAAGACAACAGCTTTGTGGTGAGAGCGAGTTTAAAACTTTATCTTGAGATATAACAAAGTAATGGCATGTTGCAGCAGAATCTTAAAGTAATTATGGACACATTTGATGAAATAGCAATGGTCAAATTGGGAAAAGAGGACTATCCCACAAGATTGTCTTTTGATTACATGGTTGTCAAGCAGCAGACCTCCTTCCGGAAGTTTTCTGAGAGCTTAAAGATAATTTTTTGTAATATGCTGGGGTCAGTAAAGTTGCTTGCGTAAATGCTTTCTTTTATGTTTCAGGCCTGTGGGCCACTTTGGTCCTACGAGTGTGGCAGCTCTTACTACAGCACAGGAATATGCTCCAGGGTCAATGCAAGCTTCAAGTTCTCTAGAACGATCGCGCCTGCCTTTCAGAGTAAGATTTAAAGTATCCTTTCTGTATTCCTCACAGCAGAGGATTATTTACTCATTTATGAGCATCTGTTTTCTCCATGTATGATCTCAGCTGCAAGTCTCATCTTTAAAATGTCTTTCAGGATGTGAGACCTATATGGACATAGTTATTGTTCTGGATGGCTCAAACTCCATCTACCCCTGGTATGAAGTGCAGGCTTTTCTCATCAACATCCTTCAGAAGTTTTATATTGGACCAGGTCAAATACAGGTGTGTAAGACAGGAAGTAATACTAAAAGAAGATAAGATATTGTATGTTAGTAATGCTCCTTGTTGGATACAGTCAAATATTGGATCTACTGGATTTATATGTGTTCTTTACTTCAGCTAATTCTGTTTTTAATTTAATTGTGCCTATATGTAGATTGGTAGTATTTAATCATTAATATTGCCAGCTGCAAAAAGACTGAACTCTTATTAATTATAATTAATCACTGTTGTTGTTTCTTGGGCTCAGGTTGGAGTCGTTCAGTATGGTGAGAAAGTCGTTCATGAATTCAAACTCAGCGACTACAAATCAGTTGAGGAAGTGGTGAAAAGAGCACGCAGCATTAACCAGCGGGGCGGTGAGGAGACCAACACAGCACTTGGCATCAACACAGCACGGTACAGTTTCTGCTTTTGTATAAATGCTCTACTTCACTGCTCCTCCATCCTGTAATTCATTTCACTGAACTAATCAAATATGTTCACACAGCTCACAAGCTTTCAAACAAGGAGGTCGACGCGGTGCCAAGAAGGTGATGATCGTGATAACTGACGGAGAGTCGCATGACAGTCCAGATCTCCAGCAAGCCATCGAGGACAGTGAGAAGGATGGAATCACACGTTATGCCATCGCTGTGAGTCTGCTAAACCTATTATTCACCTGGCTTAGATGGCTTACACTTTATTAGTTTTCACTTGGTTTTCTGATGTCAAATAAAATGTTCTTTGCAGTATTAAAAACACTGTAAACATTAATGTGATGACCTCACGGAGTTCAGTGAAAGTGAGTCTCTTAAAAACTGAGTTAAGAACAGAGCCAAACACACTCAGACCTCTCCAAGAGCTCCATCCATAATCTCAGTTGAAGAGCAGTTAAAGGTGCAAATGATATCCTCCAGACCAGATGGTTTTTGGTTTGTGCGTCTGCTGCTACAACTAATGGCAGACTTGTTTCCATCCAGTGGCTCAGCTGGGCAAAGACATCTGAACTGAAGCTCTAAAGTCGATGGTGAAAGTGCTGGCATTTGGTGTAAAAAGTAAAACAATTCTAAAACCTTCTGAGAGAGAGCTAATATTAACCTGTTATCGAGCTGTTAAGATGTGATTTATTCATTATTGGATGACACAAAAGAACTTCATGCAAAATATCACAGTTCATTGTTGTTGTCACAGGTCCTCGGCTATTACAACCGTAGAGGAATAAACCCTGAGGCCTTCCTCAATGAAATCAAGTACATCGCCAGCGACCCAGATGACAAACATTTCTTTAATGTGACAGATGAGTCAGCATTGAAGGACATTGTGGATGCTCTTGGAGAGCGCATCTTCAGCTTGGAAGGTAAGCAAAGATGAGCTTATCGATCAATGAGTTGTTTGACAGAAACCTTATTTACAACCGATATATTAATTTAAAAAGTTATCTATCAAGAAAAAATGACCCAAAAAAATGCTAGTTTCAGCTTCTCTTATGGGATTTCTTCTCTTTTCTGTCTTTGTAAACTGGATTCACTTGGGGTTTGGACTGCTTTGGGATATTTAATGCACGTCTTCTCATATTTTGTGACATTTTAGAGGCTAGATAATAATCAGATTAAATATGAACTGATTATGAAAGTTATTATGTGTTGAAGCCCTAGTGGTCACCCTAAAATTAAGCCTGTTGCAATTAGTGCCTAAGAATATCACTGACATCTCCTTAATATGAAACATACCCTCCATGGGATTTCAATGCCATTCTTCTTAGAATATAATTGTGGTAGGAAGATGAAGTTTCTCAGCTGCCGCAGTGGTTCAGAGCTCTTGAAGAATGATTTGTTTACACAGGAACCAGTAAGAATGGGACAGCGTTTGGCCTCCAGATGTCTCAGGCTGGATTTTCCGCACACAACGTTGAGGTGAGTCTTGACTTTTGCTACCACGTCATCTCATAGCGTCTGTAAAACACCACACATTGTCTCAATTTCTGGTGCATCATCGTCGCTTCCCACAACTTGCCATTTATCACTCTCCAGTCCCCCCTGAGATTCCTGTTGTGTGGCCCCAGAGGTTTAGGTAATCCTGATTTAGGAGCCCCTGACAGTAGAGACGGGTCTTTTTCCACTTCAACCGTGCACTAACGCGAAATGAGAAACCACTTGTTCCCCAGGGAAACATATTAGTGAGAACCTGGGACCAGGTTGAGACAGTCATCCTTCAGAATGGGTTTTTTTCTTTTTCATTTCCTAGAGATATTTGAATGTATCTCAGATCAGACAGATGCTGGTGTGCTGCAGGGCGACACAGCTGGAGGAGGAAGATAAAGCTCATCTCTTCTGTACTTCATACCAATTAATCTATTACCATTCCTCACTTTCTACCTCTTTCCAGTTGTCTGCTAATGCAACTCCTTTCATTTTCCAGTTCCAATTGACAGTGTGATTTATTGAGGGTGAAGCAAATATATCCTATTTATGATGAAAAATAAATAAAGCATAAAGCAGAATGTGCAACCGGGTGGTAGGACTGGTTGGAAATTCAGTCCCCAATGTCAGATTCCAGAGATGCTCGACAACATCAGCCTGAGCGTCAAGAGTAAGATAAGTTCTTGGAAAGAATGTCAGGGCCTTAAAGGAGAAAACAGTCCTAAAAGTCCAGATGGTTTTTCTGAATAAGATATGTGCCAGCTCTGAGGGCTGCTTATGTCATATACGACCCAGAGGTTTGATGCATCTGCATACGAAGCAGTTTTTGTGTATTTTCTTTTTGTGAATGAAATCTTAAAGTTCATTGTTTGCTAAATAAACCTTTTGCTTGTTTGCAAATTTGATTCCTGTATTGACCATAATGCAGAACATACATTAGTTGTTTTTGGAACTAGTATAAAGTGTACAAACCCTCTATACAATTCTTTATATTTATGTATAACCACAACTCTGGGCTCCTCTAGAAAAATACAAATTTGACATACTAACCAAAGCAAGGCACATGTCCATACATGCAGTGACTGCAGCAGAAATAGGTCACTGATTTAAAAGGCTGAACTGTTTTGAGTTTTCATTCATTTGCCATGGAGACCATTCTGACCAAAACATATAACCACACTGGCATAACGCTGCTGTGACGTAGTGCAAGCGTGGTGAGCACACAATTCCGTCTTTCAGGAAGGAAATCACAAGCCTTCGTGCTTTTACTTTAACGCTGGAAAATGTGTCGTTGGCATATTGTGCTTGGCAAGAAAAAAAAACTTAGCTCATTAAGCAGAAGAACCCTATAATTATATTGTCAGTGATAGAGAGTATGGTGAACCCTGGAATACAGAAAATCCTTCCTCTTGTTTCTTCTCGTGTCTGCAACAAATTGCACTGGCTGGTTTGTTTGCTTTGTTAGATATTGTTTAAAAATACAAAGGTTTTTTTTGTGGCTTGATTTTAGATGTTAAGGTAGATTTTTTGTCTGTGGTTTGTAATGTTTTTGACTGCACAAAGACTAAAACTGTGAGTATGTTTGTGAATGAAGTAGATATTATGTGCTGTGGTAGAGAAATCTCTTATTCTTCATGACCTTTTAAAGTACACCCTGACTCATAGTCATTACCAAATGCTGACCAATGTGGTTATTAAGACATCTTATACCGAATTTAAGGGATAAATCTGTCATTTGCTACGGATACCTCTTTACGCTTCAGAGGAAATGTAGAACCAAAGAGAAGAAGTGCAATTTTTCACAGTTTCCATGTGCGTCATGAGTATAATCATTTGGGCAATATCATCAGTGACTTGCCTGTAGCTAGCTATAGTTCATCAACCGTCAAAGACTCCAGGCTTTTCCCAAATGTGCATATACAACAATGACACAGACAATTGATGCGGTGGCCAGTAGTCAGCCTAGTTTACAAACACAGTAGCCTGCTTAGTAAATTGTAAGATTATTGTAAAAAGGCATTATCACAGGCTAAAGGGACAGAATGCTGTTGTACGAGTGGTACCACTTCCTCTTTGGTATCATTATAATTGATGCAAAGGCACACCATTGACTTGAAATATAAAAATGTACTACACCTCTTCTCACCTACAGGATGGGATTCTGGTGGGTGCTGTTGGGGCTTATGATTGGAACGGAGCAGTGCTGAAAGAAACACGTCAGGGGAAGGTGGTCCCTCCCAAGTCATCCTACACACAGGAGTTCCCTGAAGAGCTCAAAAATCATGGTGCCTATTTGGGTAAGTGACAACCAAAACAACTGAATAGGACAGTGTTGTTATTTTATCATTGAGTTACCCCTTGATGATTTGCACGCTAACTCGTCAGCCTTTAGTTTTGGTTTAAATCCTTCTTTGGAGGGATGGATGTATGGTTGCCCTCATAGCAGACCTGCGGTTTAGCACCAACTGCCTAAGCTGCAAACCAAACTCCATCTCTTAAGTGTACCCATTGCTCCGGTGCTTCCCATCATATCCGACCCCATCTCACTCCACCACCGCAGACCTCTGCTTTTACCATCAGTGGTTTGTGTTTGAGCATATCCACCAGGCTGCCAATGGAAGCCATTCTAGACTCAATAGTAATATGAGGTGGAAGCTTAATTTTGGACAGGCAGGGAGAAAGTCAAAGCTGGGAAAAAAGAGGTATGAAGATGAGAAAAGAAGGCGGAAAAGTACACAGGGAGTAAGTGGAATTTTCAGTGGGAAAAGACAAAACAGAAGAAAAAGAAATCTGATAACCAGAGTTGCCACTTCTGCGTAGCTGAATGCAGCTGACTGAGTTTTAACGCCTCAAATTGCAATATTTCACAGCAATCACTGCTATGAAATTCTACCTTAAAGGTCCCGAGAATGATTGTTTGAATTTGATCATTAGACAATCCATAGCCAAAAGAAGTAAGACATAGTATAAAGTAAATAAACACAAGTACTTACATCAGAAGCGATACGCTGCATGGGTTGATTTGTCAAAAGCTTAATCAAAGTGTATCTCAGAGGTTTGTGTTTTATGTAACCAGGTTACACTGTGACGTCTGTGGTGTCAGCCAAAAATGGACGTCTACTCGTAGCTGGAGCTCCACGATTTAACCACACGGGGAAAGTCATCATCTTCACTCTCAAGAACTCAGGCAACCTGACCATCCAGCACTCCCTCAAAGGCCAGCAGGTACTGTAGTGTCCAACACTTACCCTACTTATGATACGATGAAGGTTCGCCAGCTGTAAGCTTTGGAAGAATGCCACAGTCGATAAGGACGTGTTATGAAACATTGTTATAAAACACACATTTTTACTGCCTCTGGTACAGATTAGTTGGTTATCATAGTCTTATGTAGATTATTATGAAGTGATTTCAACATCCTACAAATTAACTTCATGCCATAAAACTTTTTTGACAAAAAAGAAAAAGCGAATGCTGGAGGAGTCTGAGTGATTTTAAGCCTATTAATAATATACTCATGCCATCTGCCACTGTCCATTGATACTCCCTCTGAGCAGCATCAAAAATTGATCTGTTTTAATTCTGTATGGCTTAAATGTATTTGTTAACATTTTAAAATTAAGTTATAGTGAAGACAGTTATAGTACGTTTGTAAGGAAAGAAAGAAAAACATTCAGTAATGCACCTTTTCATATCCTTAAATAATGTGCATAAACCCCTGGATTATAACTGAGTGTGATCAGAGTCAGACACTACTTTTTAGGAATACATCTCCTCTTTCTCTGTATTACTTTTAAGTATGTTAGTACTCAGGATATCAAATGTATTTAACTTTGGAAAGAATTACATTTATTTCAATTCATGAGCATATTAATTTAGACAAAAGGACCAGAGAAAAAATCATGACAGGGAAGTATTTTTCAACGGATAAGGCCACTAACCGTAACCGGCCACTTTGATTTTGAAATTTAAGCTCAATAAAAAGACTGAGCTCCACCACTGCAGTCCAAATGACATAAACATAACACACTGCACTGATGGTGTGAGTTGACATAGCAACAAATTTGCTTTATGTTCATCTGTGTTGACTATTTGATAGATTTGATTTGGTTAATTGGTGTTTTATAGTTTTAACATGTGAACATGTGGGTTTTAATACTGTGCAGCAGATCATCTGTTGGGTTTTAATCCCACAATCACATTTGTCACATCAAGTTGAAAAATGATGGCTGTGTGTCAATGTCCGCTACACTCATACCTGGCAGCTCTTCACAGGCTGCAAGTCTGAATTGATCCTGCAGCAGTTTACATTGTACCCTGTCAGCAACAGCTCATCCAGAGTAGCAGATGTTTTTTTGAAGAGAATGTTTTTTCTTTATGTAATAGCTCTTGAAATACAAGCTTTTTATAGGCAGATGTTTCTAATCTGTAAAACCCATAGATGATGTTCCATCCACTCCAGTGACTAATCCAGTTTATATCTGTAAAGATTTCACAGTTTCAGCATCAACAAAAACCACCAGGACTCTGGCCACTTGATGTGACTCAACACACGCTTCCATTTGTTTATAATATTCATCCTCTCCAGCTCTCTAGCAAATCATCAAAACCAATCAACATTCAAGAATATGTCACAGAAGAAAGTTGTCCTTTAAATTAATGAAATGCAAACTTACATACATGCATCAGTCTAACAACTTACTGAATTGTGTAAAGATAAGAGTGGCATGCATGTGTCTCTTTACAGATTGGTTCCTATTACGGCAGTGAGATTGCACCATTGGACATTGATGGGGATGGCATAACTGACAACCTTTTAGTGGCAGCCCCGATGTTCTTCAGTGGCGGCATGGAGAAGGGAAAAGTCTACATCTACAGAGTGACAGAGCTGGTAGGTAGAAACAAATACACAGAGGCTGGCCACATACAATCAACTCCGGACCAAGTTACCCCACCTCACAGAACTGGGTCAGCACCTGTTTAAACTCCAGAATCACACAGTAATTTCTCACACACCTCACCAGGAGTATCCGGTAACACACACCAAACCAGACTCTTTTGCATTCCAGCTCCACTTTTAACAGAATGCCATGCTGCAGGCAGACATTTGGAAAACCTTGCCATGCCAGTGTGCAGACTTTATTAGATGTATATAATGAACTCAACAGGAAAGTATTCGGGGCTTTTTAAAACCATTTCCAGCGAAGCGTTTGGAGGCGAGAACTTTCTTTAATAGAAGGAAATTTCCCGGTGTTCCAGGTCTGTCTTGCTCATTGAATGTCAATGAATGTCCTCTGTTGTTTTGAATCCATTGAACAGGCATAGACGAGGTATTTAAATATCTGGTGTGGCCCAAACCACATCACAGGTGGCAGGCCAAACCTAACAGCCAAAAACACAAACAGAAAGAAATCACTGTTAAAAAGGTCTGTCATCTTCAGGACAGAAATACCATATGTCCAGGGCAATCAATTATCACTGTGTTGTTGATATAGGTGCCGCTGCAGATGCTGCACAGTGATATTGGTCTGGAAATTTAAGGTTGGGATTCTTGGTCCAAGAATGTGTCCCTGTAATCACAGAGAACATTAACATTTCCGTTGGCAATGTGTATATATGGTGCTATCGATTTATATCTTATCAAAAAAGTTATTTTTTTCCTGCTACTTCATTTTCCCTCAGTAAATGATCCCCATGACATTTAGTACATTATGCATTTTAAAATGGCTATAATCAATTTTATTTCACAGTCAATACTTTTGCTGAGGAGATTATGCTTTCATTGTTATTAAGCAGCATTTCACAAAAAAACTACTGCACAGATTGCCACAACATTTTAAACCTATTGAATTTTGGTGCAGATCCAGGAAAGTTTTATCACTTAATCATTATGAGATTGGGCTTTTTTTTTCATAGATGTCTAAGGGAATAATTCAATGATCTTGATGAAGAAAAATCATTGATATCTCTGGGTGTGTGCAATAGTGGATTTAAATGGGATTTCATAAGAGGACTCAGCAGAGGTATACGCTACACTGAGGGCCACTCTAGTTCTTGTAGGTGGAAGGATTCGCTCGTAATGCCAAAGGATTGTCCCCCAAGCCTGCAGTTTCCCTCAGTTCTATGTCTTTAAGCCTATTCTTCTGTTTTTCTATTACACTTTGTTTTGCTTCACTGTCTCTACTTGTGTGGTTTCATTTTTCTGGCAGCTGTTTTCTTCTAAAATACTGAGTTGCTACTCAGCTGCTTTTGCATCAAGCACTCTGACTAAAACTTAAAGCAAAAACTCCAGGTTTAAATCTAAATAAAATCTGGCAGCTGGACAAAAATAAAACTCCATTTGAGTCTAACACGTGGAGAAGTTGCACTTTTAACTCACCCTCGGAGTCAGTGACGGGCCGGTCATGACCCCTCACGACCTCCCCACAAACCATATGTTTCAAATTGAAACAGTGCTGAATATATTTTTCCGCATTTCTCTTATCAATCTCCCCCTCTGGCACACATGCTCACATCAAGTAGCTGGGAAGTACAAGCTACCGTCCTAAATCAAATCTCTTCCCATTTGTTTAACTGAGAAAACAAGTGATCTCATGTTTTGTCTGCCGACTCTAAATTATATTACGAACTGGGGATGCCAAGTGGAGCAATAATATGCATGACTACTAATGGGCTCAAGTATTTGGCTCCGGTTTGTCAGCATGATTTTTTCTTTATTTCCAGTTGTGTTGTTGAAAGACAAGGATATTTTCCATGTGACTTAAGACTCACACACTAAGAGGAGAACTTCAGATAAATGTACTAAAGCGATATGGCATTCTTTAGTCCGTTTATGACCCTTAGGTAAAATTCCAAACTTCTGCGGTCCCAGATGTTTAAGATTTTTGAGTTCAAAAAGGCAGAATTAGAGGATTAAGTGGAAAACAAAGAAGCTGATCCAACATTTATCTTCCGCTTTACCAGAAGAAAGCTTTTTATAACTCTTGTTTGCTACTTTTTCCTGTGTAAATTACGAAACGATTAGTTGTTTAAAGATGGCTTTGAGATAACTGAAACAACAATCTTGCTGAGAGGACAAGAATGTCTTACAAAAAAATAATGGCATTTATCATTAAACAAATGGATCAGTCCTTTGACCCCTGTACCAGAGGACATGAATCTCTCCACTAACAGTATAAGTGCTATTTTTATCATGTCGTTTTGGCATATGCTTCAGTTTCCATTAAATCCTTTGTCCTGTTCAGTGCATATTTGTTGATGGATTCATGTCATACACACATGTGCATACTGTCATCAGGATGTTTGAATGCTGACTGTGTTTTTCCAGGCATTCTTTAACATTAGCCCATTAATGCAGAATTCAATAACTATCTTTCAAGGGCCAGCTGTTTCCAGATATTTATGAAATGGGATCCAAAGAGAAATCAAGTACATTCTCATGGCAGCAAGACGAGAATAATATGTCACACGTGTAACGTAGTATGTATTTATTAAGATATGCACAAAAACAAATTACGACACCAGCTTTAGTGACTTTACGTTTCCCTTCCTCCCTCAGAATCGGTTTATTCTTGAAGGGGCGTTGGAAATCCATAAAGACGGCCAGAACGCTCGCTTTGGTTCATCTCTCGCTCCCGTCCCTGATCTAAACGGTGATGGCTTCAACGACTTGGTGGTGGGAGCGCCACTGGAGGACGACCACAAAGGAGCCATTTATGTTTTCTTTTGCCAGCAAAACAGAATTCTACGCAAATACAAACAGGTAGGGAGTGTACCGAAAGTACAGTCGAAAGACACTGCAAATGTATCCGGACGTCTTTTGTCTCCTGACTACAATTACTGCAGATCACGCTCCAGTGTTTCATTTAGTTTACCACGTTATTATCAGTGTGGTTAATAATATGGAGTTGATTCATTCACACTGAGTGATTGATGAAGGGAGGAGGAGCAGGTAGACCAGCAGATGTGGAGATCAGGTGACTGAAAATGACAGGACACAGCACATAAACCGTAGAACGGGGGGAAAAGTTTTTTTCAAAATGAACTAATAGGACTTCTGAACTCTTTCTGACTCTTTCATAACAGGAAGTGGAGGCACTGAGAAACTAATAATCTAGTTAGAGAAATCCTGGATTCTTGATGAATTTGTCATGATTCTTAACCAAATCATTGTAATGAGTAGTGTCTATTTGTTATTGTGGCTTTACATTTGCAAACTCTTTTCCCCCCAAAACTTTAAAAACACAGTTTAATTGGTTACTTTAACAATGACTTAATCATGACATTGGAAACTGTGGTTGTGTGATTTCCTCTGCCTGTTCCTCAGAGGATCGCCGCAGTAGATTTGGCTCCCGGCCTGCAGTACTTTGGGCGCAGTATTCATGGCACAATGGACATGAACAATGACGGTTTAGTGGACCTGGCAGTAGGTTCCCTCGGTGCAGCTGTTCTCCTTTGGTTAGTATTTCATCCATTAAGAAAATACTGTCGTCAGCCAATAGCGTTTTATGTGCGTCTTGAGAATATCGTAGGTCACATGTAACACCTTTATGCCCTCACAGGTCACAGAGTGTTGTCCGGATATATGCCACAGTCAGGTTTGAGCCCAGTAAGGTCAACATCTTTGTGAAGGACTGTCAGAGAGGTGGAAAAGACGTGACCTGTATGTCAGCCATTGTGTGCTTCAACATCACTGCCAGGACAGCCATTCTGCCCACACAGGAAATTGGTAAGCCAGCAAAAATAATCCACTGTTGTTGAAGCACTGCAAAGTTTCCTAGTTCCTCTCCATGTCTTTGCCTGATGTTTGGCATCTTCCGAACTGTTAACAAATCATTAGTTTATATATTAGAAATAAAGAGCCTTTTATACATTTTACAGCCTAACAAATATATATAGATGAAGAGACACAATAAAGGAGCAAATGCAGTTTTTTTTTTCTGGAATGAAACATCTGGATACTGTCACACTTTAACAGACCAATTCACTGATACACTCAAGTAGAGAAATTCATATTTTGGATTTGTAACTCGCAATGTCCAATAAATCAGCTGTTACTGTTTGTACATTGGTATATGGATATGAAACATGGCTGGTTTCCAGTTAGAAAAGGCATTAGGCCCCTCTGAACGTATATTATCCTCCATGTCTTGGATCCATCAGACTTCTCAGCATGTGGGTTGCTTCGAAAGCTGAAAACTGCGGAAAGATATCTTGATCTCACTGCTGTTCCTCTGCCAAAGCTAAAGCTGCCGCCTCCAAAGCTGGTATATCTGAACCACGCTGGTGATGTTAAATGTTCCTTATATTGTGTCAACACTGGCTGGAATGCATCTACTTGTTCATCTTCTTTTTTGTTTGATTCAGCTCTAAAAAGCAAACTGTTGGTGTTAGTGACAGCTCACAGGCAATTCAGTTCAGCAGATGGGTGGCCCACCTGTAAATAAACGTCAGGTTTCTGTGCCCACAATTTGTTTTAAGAGATTTCATGTCAGGGTCCAGTTTCACGGTGTTTTGGGGGGAGGAAGCAGAGGTGCAGGGGGAGCGTGTTCTGAGTTAACCTCTTGACCCTCCAACATCTTCATCAAATCTATCAGTTATGTCAAAACAGAGCAGAAGAAGAACAGACAGAGTTATCTTTTCTTCCACGGTTACATACAGTGGAACAGGTTTATTTAATTTTCCTCTCCTTGTCTGGCTGGTAATTCATGGCAGATGTGCTGGTGTTTGTGAGTTCGCAGTGGTCTGCTGCATGAAATGGATTTTTTTCTGTCTCATTCATGTAAATCTTTTTTATGCAAATGTCTATTTACAACATCTGAGGGTGGCGTCTTCAAACAAAGAGACTCTACAAACTTCTTTTCAGATGTGCAGCGTGGGGATTTGAGGTGATTGACGGGTGCTGCTGTGAGGCCCCATCACTCTTGATATGGTGTCGTTTAAACGTGAATACATTAAAGTGTTTAGTTATTCTCAGTTTCTCTCAATAGAAAATATATATTTTTATATCTTTTGATATTTGTGATGTTTGAAAAGTGGAGAAAAACTAAATTTAGTATCTATAATCTTCTAATTATTCTCTATGTGAGCCCCAACACAACAAATACACAGATTTAGTCTCAGTGGAATTTTTTCAAGCCACATTGTTTTAAAAAGCTTCACATTTATTTACAACAAGCTGTAAATAAATGTGAAGCTTTTTAAACAACGTGGCTTGTGAATCCTGACGCCAGAGGGTTTAGATTCTTGTACGCGTTGATCACACGTTCATCATATATTCACTTTCTATGGCCTCTGCCATTTGTCAATTAATCTCCTCTACACGATAAGAACAGAAGCCCATACAACTTAGAAACACTTGAATAGAAAAGTATCTTTCAAGTGTAATCTATTCACTTTTCCTATGACCCACCAGGAATCAAATACAACGTCTCCATCGCGGAGAGACGTTTCAATCCCCGGGCCGTACTGGACAACCCGAACAAGCTGCAGCCTCAGAACCTGACGCTGCTTCCTGGAGAGGAGACCTGCGAACACATCTATTTCCACGTCATGGTGAGTTCTGTGATGACAGTTGCAAGAGCCTCATACGACCAGGGATTCCAAAGACATAATTTGCAGTGAGGGAACTGGATTAGTTCGTTTAACTTTGTTTGTAATTCATCCCAACAATGTTTTTCATTCACTAAGCGTTTTATTCCATTTTTGAATATGTGAGATGGAAGAAAGATTTACGTTTATTGCATCTATGATTCTGTGGAAACTTAAAGTATCACATGGAGGTTAAATGCTGTTTCAGATGTTTTTCTGTCAGAATCACTTGGTATTCATCATTTTGTGTTAAATTATTGATATTTTTAAACATTTAAATTCAGCAAACTTCCAGAAGTCTACATGAGTGAGATTATAATCGTAACCTTTGAGGGTTTCTTCATCTGGATTGAACCAATCACTAAAATAAATTGTTGGATGCCATAGATAAAGTGCCACGATAGAGTAAATCCTCTTCTTTAAACTTTTATATTAGGAGACCACAGATTATGCAAGACCCATAATTTTCGCTGTACAAGTGGGACTGCAAGATCCAGAGCAAGGACCAGTTCTAGATGAAAGCTGGCCAACTGTTGTGAGGACTGAGGTGAGTCAATCTGACAGTTAATCCTCATGCGGTTCTCACAAATACAAATAGAAAGGGAAGCATTGAATGTTACTCTGACTTAGCAAAGCTTGTCTCTTTGGCTAGCTGCCCTTCTGGAATGGGTGTGATGAGGATGACCGCTGCATACCGGACCTTGCACTGCAGAGTATGACTGACCTGATGACTCGAAGGTAGGTGACACTCACAACACAAAGCACAATCAGAGAAAGGCCCAGATTTACTGTATTTACACATCTACTATATGTAAAACATAGAATCATTCTTTGACTTGTTTCTTTTCTTATGATTTACTCTTATGTCCTTCTCCCTCCCTGGATCCCAGTCAGTTCTGTGCGCAGCCTGTACAGTCTCGTGGTGCTTTCTGCCGCCAGTTCAGTGAACGAGAGATGGAGGGATCTCAGCGTGTGCTGGAGGGAAACAGGAGAAGGATGGTGGTGGACCTCCGGCTGGAGAACAAAGGAGAGAACGCCTACAGCGCTCGCCTTAATATCTCCTACTCACACAATCTTCGCTTCTCCAGTCTGATAGTCAAGGTACCTTCTCATCGCCATAAACCAAGTGTCTTCATTTGTGAGATTCTAAGGCTGTTTTTCACAATTTCACCAAGTTGTTTGTATTTGGTTGTTTGTTGGGTTTGGTTTACAATTTCTTGCTTCAAACAAACCAAACCATGGTTCAGTTTTATTCAGACAAAGACCACCTCTACTGAGAACCAAACAAAGTATAGGGCCCTTAGATTTATAAACAATTCTAACCAGCTGATAATATTAGATGCGTGCTATAATTAAGTGACCAGTACTGTAATAAAAAATTTAAAAAACGTTCTTATTTTTGATGCAGGACAACTCTGACATCAAGATTGAGTGCTACATCGAGGACAAACTGAGGAATGAGAAGATCTGCAACGTCAGTGCTCCATTCATGAGGGCCAAGTCTCAGGTGAGCTAACCACATTTTATTATAAGAAATAAACTACAACACTCAACTCAACTGGGTGACATTGTTTATGCCATTATATAGTTAACTATGGAAAATTTACTTCATCTGACGTAAATTTTGTAAAAATGTAATGTAAAAATACTAAAACCAAATAGATTGGCAGGTTTTCAGGAGTCTTGAGTATTTTCCTACATTATATCTAACATTTTTATTTAACCTGACTTAGTGGAAAGCAGATCTAAAATGTTTCCAACCATGAAAAATTCATTCATTCTGGAGTTTTCAGACTGATTGCCACATGAGATAAAAAATCAGTTGAGAAGCTTTCACCTCTGACTAAAATAAAAATCTCAGATACGTATGTCTGCTCTGACAGAGGCTGCAAAAGACATAGATGTGGCCTGTATTAGGCCACACTGACCAAGTACACATGCTGAAGGCTTGAGTTGACAACGACAGACCACACTGGTTAATGTAAGAACCACAAACCAGCCAGAGGAAACCAGTTTAGTTCTGGTTTGTGAGATCCCTTCTTTCTCTAATCTGACATCTAAGTCTACAGTTCCAACACAAACACACATGCTCCTGTATTTAACTTTCAAACTACTAATAAGAAACTGTGATAACATCCGCGAATACTTGTGTAAAAATATTTCAGTGGCTTAACAGTAACACATTAAAGAAACAGACACATCCTTGATTTATCTGTGATTTCACCTTATTTATGGTTCGATGTGTAGAAGACGGTTCTCTCACTCTTTATGATGTTGAAACTTGATGCTTTGTGTTTCTTACCAGACCCGTTACATGCTCTTAAACCTGAACACATTAAATATCAAGTTACTCTGCGTCATACTGTAGTTCATGAGAGATTTTATATGCTAATACTATTTATAAATTTTGGGTAAAGCTTTATTTTATGGCTCCTGTAGTTTTCAGTTCGATTAGTTGGATTTTTTTCTTTCTCAGTTAGACATTGACATCAGATTAAGTTTCTTTTTGCAGTTGTTGTTATATTATTACCAAATTATGTCGTTTTTTTCTACATACAGATGAAATTGATTATTTGATATATTAATTAAAATAAATGCTTAGTGTGACATCATCATCATGCACCAATGATAAAGGATTGTAAGTGATCCACATAAAGTTGGTAGAGAGCCCTCTGTATCAGTATCTTATTTTCTAAAGCTTGACATATTTTAGTGCCTCCGTGATCCATCATCCAAAATTAGGGGTTTTAAACACGCTACCATTTGAGAATAATAAAGACTCTAACCAGCAACGTTAAAGAAGACTCTAGCAGTGTGGAGGGAGAGTGAATGAGCAGTGGTTTTTAAGTGTTATATACTGTTGAGTGATATTCTTCCACATTAAATGTGTTTACTGTTCTTTAAAGGCCATGGTTCGCAAATGCCATTGCTCAGGGTTTGGTGATGTGATATTTGACCATAAAGTATTTATGATCCCTTTTCTAAGCCACCTAGGTCATGTCCCTGATGACGACGACTGTGGGTTCGTATTTTATGTGTCCCTGGGGTCAAGATTGAACCTCTACAGTCCGCTCCAACCAAAAACTTACAGTCTGCGGTCTGGGACTAAAGTGTGAACAAGTCCTTTTGCCATCACACACGTAGTTTTCTGAAAGAGACTTTGTATGTTTTTTAACTATGCAAAGGTTATTCATTATCAGTGGAGCAGTTCCTTCTTCCTCTATTCGCTGTTATAATTAAAATGTCATGTTTGGTTATAATGACTTTATTTGATATGCAGATAGAGCTTGAAAGGTATAAACAAGAAGAAGAAACTTCTGTCTTAGTTAAAATATTTTACCACTTCACCCTGGTGCACCAGGTGAGATGGAGTCAGAGACAGTGAGATGTATTTCTTTCTCTCATCTGTTCCTGATTCTCACGTTCACATGCTGTTTCCAAGCTTTTCCACAGGCTTGTAATGTCAAAGATATTTATGAAACTCTGCACTTTCCAGTTTACGTTTACGCAACTGCCTCAAGTTTTATTTCCAAGAGGGTGATGTTTGAATTCACTGTGATGGGGATGACACTGGTCGTACATCACACTGCAGTTAAAAGCTATTAAACAGCGAGCAGATTACACATCGTCAGTCTTTTCCATTGATGCCTCGTCTTTCCGACTTTAAACTTTCTTACTATACAGATACAAAATCTGCTGACGAATATCGAAGGAATGAAGTAATGAAAGTGAATGAAGGAGTTCATGACCACGTCATTATCACAAACAATAGTTGTCTCCTTGGCAATGGAAATATCAGCACATTTCTCTGTAGCACTCTCCAGCTACCGAACCAAGAGGACTCTGGTCACCCCTCAAACTCCCTGAGTGATTCATACCCACTCATTCGGCCTGAACAGCATCCAGAGCCACAGAGCTGATCTGTTCTGGTCGAGGCCCTTTTAAAAATGTGGCACAGAGTTAAACACGGCTGATTGTACATCGGTGCCACTGCCAATCCAGCTCAAACCACTTCTTAGCAGAGGGAAAGTTAGGACCTGAGGACAAGCCTTTTTTTAAATAGCCAGTTTTCACTCATGTTTGACTTTTCCGGTTGAATTTGATTTACTGTAAACTTTAGTACAGCTGCAGCAAAGTGAGGTTTTCTTGTTGGTGTTCTTGGTGTATACTACTTATTGCAATCAATCATTTGGTGAATGTGGCCCAGTGATGTGGGCAGGCAATGACAACCCAAAGGAGGGACAGGAGCTTCAGGCGCTGACGGAATTTCCATGTTAAACTATGCTGTCGCATAAAAAAATCCTCTGGCCACAGACAGTAATGTCTTCCAAACACATGTGTGTGTGTGTCTGCGCATTCTTATGTGGATGTGTGTTTTCATCTGCTTCTCTTCCATTTAACTATTTTGAAAATAGGTTGGACAAAAAGTTTTCTTCTCTTAGAACGTTGGTATTAAGAAAAGACTTTGGAACATTCTCCACAAATAGTAAAAGATTATGTGCAGTGTGTTCTATATCTGTGGTCTGTCAAGGAGAACTCTATATGGAGGAGGGACGCAACATTAAACATTGTTATGCAATCCCGCTATGGTCAGACTGAATCTGTCAGGATTTCATTACTGCACAGAAGACTGTAAACAATGCTCTGATTCTTTCTGCTGCCAATCAACCCTCCTTTCCTCTCCTCTCCCCCTCTCCTCGCTCTTCTCCTTCTTTCCTCCTCTCCTCTCCTCCTCTCTTCTCCTTCTCTCCTCCTCTCGTCTCTCCTCTACTCTCCTCTTTACAGACTTCTCCCTCTGTTGTTGTTCATCCATTGTTTTCCATTTTGTCTCTTCTGTTTTTGACCATCTCTTCTTTTTCTCTTTTCTCCTTCTCTGTATTCTATCCTCGATCTGACTTTCACTTCTACTTTGTGTGTGTGTGTTTGTTTGTTTATTTGTGTGTGTGTGTGTGTGTAGTCATGTCGCTGTGGGTTTATGCTATTGTCCCCAACCATGGGGGAAATTCCCTTGCTCTCTTTAAGCAGCACCAACTGTGCATCCGGCTGCCAGAGGTCAAAGCCTGAGACTTACAGGCTTTACCTCCTAATCCATAATGCAGGACTTACTGCTGCAGAGGGTAAATACTGTACTGCAGCACAAAGTCAGGGGAAGCTTTGACTTGTGCTTTTAGTGTTGTTATAAAATGTAATGATGATAAACGGGTAAACCGCGAAAGGAATACTGATTAAAAGATGAAATATTAGATTGTTTTAAGGCCATGTAATAAATGAGTGATTTATTCCTCTGAACTTTATTTTCTCCACCGTGTAGGTCTCGTTTCGCCTGGAGTTTGAGTTCAGTCGTACTGTCTTTCTGGAGCACGTCAGGGTCATCCTGGAGGCCAGCAGGTGTGAACATCAATTAAAATTCTTCCCTGTATTTTGAAATCTGGACACTTTTACATCGTCCCTCTTTGCATTTAGAGTAACTGTCCTTAACTGACACAAACAAAATAACAACCACTCATTACTCCCATCGTACATACCAAGTACTGTGCTTGAGATAAGCTAAAAAGCTGAAAACCCAAATGAGCTGCAGTGATAAATATTTCATCTGGTGTCCCGCTGTGACATCACTGCTCAAGTTGTATTATATTTTGTCTCCTTCTCTCGACAGCGACGGCGAGGAAATGAGCACAGCTGATAACTTTAATGACATCTATTACTCACTGAAATACGAGGGAGACCTTCTCTTCACGAGGTTTGTCAGTTATCTCAGACTCTTTCCAAACAAAGCATGGCAAGGTGATTGTGGAGGCAGTGAACGTAGAAGTAAGAAAAGTGATTAGATGTCTTCTGGAAAAAATATTTATTAATATATATATATATAACATATATTAAATGCACATACTTAAGCCGGAATATGCGAAGAGGTATTAGGGCCATACTGAAGAAAAAAGAGAGTCATAATATTACCAAGATAAAGTGGTAGTCATATTATTACAAGGAAAATAAGTCTGATACTTTTGATAATGTGCTGATGTGTCAAACTATTAGGTACTTTGTCATTTGTTAAACAGTATAATTTAAGACGACAGGCTGATCTTCTGAGATGTCCCTCCTCTAAAATGACATCTATCCAAATATTATCACCTTATTCTCATAATATAATGGCCTTGATAATATTTTTCCCTTTTCCCCTGATACCCGTTGGAATGTGTGATTTGTCATCATGTATTTAGCTTCACATTATTTATTGCAATATACCTCAAACCCCAGATAAATTGAAGATTTTTTATTTACACATTACTTGTTCATGTTTATTCGTCGCCTCCAAAGGGATTCTAATCCAACCCGGTATGACATCAAATCAGAGCTGTCGCTGGAGGAGCCTGGAGTTATCGGTCCCCCTGTCAACTTCACTTTCCAGGTAAGAGCCAACAACATCGTCTCCCTGAGTTTAATTTACGCAACAGGGGAAAACACTGATGAGAAATAATTCACAGTTTCCGCTCTGTTGTCTCTCAGATCCAGAACCTTGGCTACTTTCCAGTAAAAGATCTACAGCTGAACATTGAGATCCCAGAAATGACAAAAAATGGGAACCAACTCCTGCAGATATCTGAATTCCAAATTGATCAGGTGAGTGTGGAGCCTCAGTGAGAATGTGTCACTGATGAAAGATTAATAGCACATTCTTCTTTTTGAACTCACTTTATTATACTCTCAGGAGCTTTGCAGCGACTGTTGGTCATAAGGTTAGCTAGACATGCTAATGTCGTGATGGAGGAGACTACACATGCTTTAATCTTTTCCTTAAACTTTTCCAGAGGGTAAAAAAACAAACTTTTTATGTTCATATTTACTGCAGCATCGTTCACTTCACCTCAACAAGTGAAAAAATCCAAAGCTTGACACCTCTGCGGTGCCTGGATAAGCTTGCTACGCTGTGATTGGACAATGGCCATTCGGAGTAGGGGTTTAGTCCGTTTATTTTTTAGCATCTACAATTATGGAGCAGTTGTCTCTTGTGGTCACAGTTGCTCAGTAAAAGTCGTATAAGGTTGTTATAAATAGTGTTGTGTTAGTGTAGAGTTTCTCCATTTGGCGGTGCTGTTTCAAAATAAAGTTTCTATTACGTCAATAGGGGGTTAAGGCAGCTTAGTGCTGTGATCACTATATTTGATTTACTGACTTTGCAGATTCTGTTAGCAACAAAACCACCTAGCGACAAATCTAGTTACTTTCCGTGTATTTGTGGCCCATTGTAGATTTGATCTCTTCAGACCCTGTTCATAAGGGATTGGCGCTCAGGTGGTTTTGTCTATTTTGTTGACGTTGTTGGGGGGGGGGGGGGTGACACGTTGACCCAGCTTTACAGTTTCTATTTCATGCTCGTCTAGTGTTGGACAGCAGGAACAGAAAAAAATAAAATGAGAGAAGCTTTACTGGGAATTCAGCTGTGTATTAAAATGCTGTTTTATTTGAGCAGAGAGAAGCAAACAAAGACTTAAACCAGGTGACACTAGGTGTAACACAACAATGATGCAATCACGTCATTAATATACTAATTAGCTTGTATCATCAGTGACATTTAGTGACCTTTCAAGCAGGTTTTAGCCACTTTCCATTTTAACATAGTTGACAGCTGTTTTCAACTAAGTCCTCAGTTTCTCACATTGATCTCACGAGGTTCAACCATACATACAACTTATAATATTATTTCAGCTGTATCCCAATTGAGGGGCTGAACCGAGGTGAAGCGGTCTGGTCTACGGAGAATTTCCTCTTTACCGCTCCAGCTAGTCTCTTACCGCTGCATCGTTGGGTTCCTCGAGCAGCTGCATTTACTGCAGCCCGGTCACCCAGATAGCTAGTTTGTTAGCCTCATCACTGGCTCAATAGATTCTATGATCCCCATCAGATAGATTTTTTTTTTGCATCGGGAATTGAAGCAGGCACATCTGAAGGAGCTGTCTAAATGAGACAGCCGGTGTGACATGAGCGCTCTCCTAAGGATGCAGCCACTGAATTTAGACACAGCTTCTCTCTGCGGACACGAGACTGTAATATACTAACAGGTAATCTACGTTCATGTCACCCCCCCCCAGAGAGATGGTACTCACTGTTTACCACCTCAGCATGTGGCACAGAGCAGAGCGTCGCCTGAGGACCTCACACGCTTCTCCCGCTTGGTAAAATACATACCAGCCAAATGAATTTCCAAAATAAGAGTTAATTTCCTCCATTGTCTTTTTTCCTTGAGGCTAATGTCTGGTTTCTACACACAGAACCGATCCAACACCCTGATTCTGCCAATCCAATGCTCCGTCAATGTGGCCTCCCAAAGAGAAATTGCAGTTAGAATCACAGGAGCGCTACGAATAGATACCTTACACGCAGTGAGTATAAACCAAACGTGTAATGATCATGATTTCGCCCAGCTTAAAAACAACATACACATGCATGCAGTTTCTCCATTCCTCTTACTGTTACTCTGCTTTGATTCTGCTTGGTCGTCTACCAGCTGCGTCATCGTGTTTGTGAAGATTGACTGCTTGTTTTGATTTGTTCCTCAGCTGAAGTTTAAAATCCTCGAGCTGGTAACCAGTGCCTCAGTGGAGCTCCCCTCCTCCAGCCCCATGTTTCTACATGAAGAGAGGCCTGTCAGACATGTGAGTCAACAACGACTGATGTTGTAAACTGTCCCTGCCCTGAGACTGACCGGACTCAGACACCGAGTTCACAGACACATCCTAATGTATTCAGACATAGCCTCTCTTTGATTTTAATCCTGTCCATGTGTGAATAACGTGTTTTCAGCTCCAGGAGATGAGTCGTTAAAATGTATTGAAACAACTGAAAGAATCAAACATGTTTATTAAATGTAATGGAACATTTCATCAAAAACTAAACAAAGACATATTTTGCTGTTGGCCCACTTTCTAAAAGAGCATGAATGAGCCCTGCTTCAGTTGATGACTGAGGCAGTGTAGAGTCAGACAGTGAAGGTTGGTGTTGGAGCTCACTTGCTGTGTGGTGCTCAGGGACCGAAAGGACCAGCGGCACAACATGTCCAAGTCTGGACGTGTACACTGATGTTTGCTGCCATCTATTGGCCAGTACAAGCACTTATACATTTTCTCTTTACTGTTTGCATGAGGAAATGAAACCTGATTTATTTTAGCTGACTCAAGTGCTTTGTGCTTTATACTGAATTTTTTTTTCGGTGAATCTGATGAGTCATCCGTTAAACTGTACACGAAAGAAATGCCTGAACAAATATTTATAGCCTATAGTAAATTACATTGGGTTCTGTTTGTATTTGAAAAATAAATGAAATTAAATCCTTTCTCATTTCGTGTGACAGATAATATTGGAGATCAGGAAGGAGGGCGATTACAGGATCCCCACCTGGATCATCGTTGGCAGCACGCTGGGAGGACTCCTGTTGTTAGCCCTGCTCAGTCTCGCTCTGTGGAAGGTAAGACATCACACTCATTATAAATAGGTGTGTTGTATTAAGATGTACAATTAGTCTTTTTAATCCCTATTTATCATTTCATAAATAATGAAAAAGGTCATATTGTAATTTAAACAATTATATAAATTGTTCTATGTACTTTACTCGTGGTTGAACCTCAACTTAAGTCATTCAGTGTAGTCAGACTGCCCCCCCCCCTCTAGTAGAGAATGAAGTACCATCTGTCTGCAGTGCAAGTGATTCAAGTGATTCTATTAAGAGAGGTTTTTTTAATTAAATATTTTAAAATGTCAAACCTTTAAAAAAATGTTTTCCCTTATTACAGTGTGATTAAAGTCTAATGATGTTTGTGTTTGTTTTTGAGTCACGAATCATTTTAAACTAAAAATAAATGTACCAGTTGTTTTTCTTGATTAATCAATTTAATATCTAACAAATGTCAGAAAAAAATGACAAATGTTTGTAAAGTAACCTTCAAATGTCGTCAACAGAACAAAATCAATAGACATCAAGTTAATTAATGTTGTTAACGAAGACCAAGAAAAACCAGCACATATTCACATTTGGAAGCAGAATACAGGCTTCACCTTAAAACATCTGCATGATTGTCCTTGTGAGCATGTTGGCATGATGACAGCCACACAGCTGTTAGTATTTCTGCAGAGGAGTTTCAGTTTGGATTTGAAGCTTTCTTCATTTTAATTGTCACTGACATGAAGAAGAAACGGTCCCACCAGAGTTCAGTGGTTAACACACTGACACCGTGTTGGACACTAAAGCTCTAACTTTACTTCTTGGCTGATTTTACGCTTGTTTGAAACCTCCACTTAGCTCGGCTTCTTCCGGAGGCAGAAGAGAAGAGACGATGACGAGCAGGAGGTGAACGGGAAAGTGGCAGAGGAGCGGTAACGCAGGTTCAGGGCCCCCAGCAGACACCTTTTCCACAGGGGACCCAACACTCAGGGACCAACCCACCTCCCCCTGCTCCCCAACACCACCACCACAGTGGCACTGCATCGACAGCTCCGCATGATGATGATCGCTTTTTTCAGTGCACTGGATCTGTCCCACGCCACGACCCCTGACCCCCAAGAGTCAGCACTGTCACACTCACCTAGCGTTCCTGCACTGTTACGGCGTCAGGGCCTTCTTCCTTCATGTATTTACTGCCCTCGTGTCGTCCCTCCGCTCTCGTTTTCTCGGCTCGTGCTCGGCTTTGAAATGAAGAGAAGAGCAAACTTTGATTGATTTGTTCCAAGAATTTCAGGCCGCATGTTCCTCCCCCTGAGGCGAACGTCAGCCAATCACTCTCTTGTCTCTTCTGTGTATTTATTTAACTCTTATGGTAAATTTTGAAAAACATTAAAAACCTCAAGGGTGACTTCGCCACCCGAAAGCTACGGCAAGTGTAAAGTTACTATTCTGTATATTGAATTCGATGTTTAAAAGATTTTTATCTGCAACATGTTCAGTCGACTTGCATTATAATTTATAAAGAAACACAACTGAACACACGTCTCCACAACACGAGGAAGATTCATGACGTTTGACTTCGAAAGACTTTCTTGATCTTTCGCTGCAGAGACAAATCTTCCAAATACGTAACTTTCACTTCTTTACTTATTAATATTTTCATCTTGGAAAACAAGCAGGATGGTCTTTAAACATTTGATGCACTTTTACTTTGTACAAAATTAACTTGAACTTTGTAAATAGTCAAGTAGCTTTTTATACCCTTTCAGTATTATAGTACTTTTCAGTATTTTCATGGCATTTACAAGGCAAATTAAAAAAGTAAAAGTATGTCACTGAACCTGTCACAGTGTGAGACGGCTGCATGCCTTTCAACATGCACTGCATCAGAGCGAAGGGTGTGCATTGAATACTGCTGGCAAAACTTTAACAAAACTTTAAAGATGAAACTGTAACTAAATGATTCTGAAGATGAGTCGTATGAATGCACATAAGTCAGCACCATCCCAGTGTTACAGATGAATGTCAGTTTGTTCTGTTTTGATGAGGTGTACAGATGTAATACACCAACAAATAAAACATGTAAACATATGTCTACAAATGTCTTTTGAATGATTATCTGCAGAGATGCAACTTTAGAAAGAAGGCATGAGAAACAAAATCAGATAAATGCATTTGTTGTGTTTCAAACACAGGATTGTTAACCAGACTTTAGAAAGTTTCTCCAATGCTGCAGAGATATGAACGGTTTTCACAATTACTTTTGGATAAAGCCTCATTTATCAGCCGTATTGACTTGAAGGAAACAAAGAGGGGGAAGATATATTGGTAATTGATTTGTCCTGCCAGTGTTTTATCCTGTGCTGGTATTATCCATTTGTCCACACCACAAAAGATTCAGTCCCCTGATCCAGAATGGACGACAGCTGGCAACAATAAGGCCCATTACAATCGATTTTCCAACAACAAGACTTGCCCGACAGCGTACTTCCATTTTTTTTCACTTGCACCAACCATTAACGTTATCGATGTCATTTACACCGGATGTATAATAAACGTCTCCACCAAAATTCTTAATATTTTGTCTTGGTTGATTTTCATATCTCGTATCAGAAAAGGTGTTTATCATTCTGTCTAGACCACTCAGGTGTTTGAATGTGTGTGTTCAGGGATGAATGGAGCTCAGTGTAGGAGGACAAGCACTGAAGGTTCCTGACAAGAACTTCAGTCTACTCTCACCTCTGCTCTTATCTCTTTAAAAAACCTGCTCACTCTGCTGCACATGAAACTGTGAGGACACTTGAAGACAGTAAACCCAGCGTCCTCTGGAGATGAGGTTTGGAATGAGTCGTTTTTGCTGTATTCCATCAGACGTTCCTAACAACAGCAGAGCGCGATGTCCTTAATTCAAAGTGTGAAGTTAAACCAAGTCAGTGTCTGTTCAATTAAACCGAAAGCTTTCAACACTTGGGTCATGTCCTGATTTATTTTATTTTTATTAGTCTGGCGCCAACCTTGATATAAATTATCTCAAGACCTCGAACCCTCAGTGATTATTTCCAGGTTCACAGAGACTCGGTTACCTTGGAGCACAAAGACCCCTGCTGGTCAGAGCCAATTCATATCCGCTGCTTTTGTTGCTGCAGTGGCGTCAATGAGAGCTGCAGAAACCTCGGCTGAAGGCAAAGAAGGTTTCAGCTCTCTGTGCTCCTCTCTTTTTTTTTTTCAAACGAATAAATAAATAATGATGCTGTGTGGCCTCGGTTTGAAGTGTCATCTGCCACCGACAACAATGACAACATATTAATCCCTGAGGGGAAATTAGAGTCACAATGTCACTGCTGCAAATGTAATCTGATTCACTGAGAGAATAAAATGTGTGCAGCAGACACACAAACAGAATTAAAGATAAACAATAAATACTGAACACAACAGTTGATATAATGTGATGTTAAATGGAAACATGCTGGAGAACATTGACGTGAATGAGACAAATATGAAAGACGATGGATTCAGTTTTGCTTTGTTCATTCATCAGTGTCACTTTTAACTGGATGATTGTAGCTCTACTCTAAATATCTATTATAGTATCAAAACATGGGACGTTAAAATGAATTTAAAATTAGTTTGAAAAATGTGTATTTAAAAACTAATACATTCAAAAACATTCAATGGCAGAAAGGTAAAGAATAAAAGAAAGTTAAGTTGATCAAATCAAATTTTATTTGTATAGCTCATATTCACAAATCACAATTTGTCTCATAGGGCTTTAACAAGGTGTGACATCCTCTGTTCTTAACCCTCAATACAGTAAACACAAATCATGATCATTTGTATCATTAAAAGGAAGTTAAGATAAAAATTAAATAAATACAAGCACGAAAAACAACAACTAAAACTTCCCTCTGTTGTTGTATTGAGAAATTAAATGTATCATCAAATATCTCCAGTTAAAACTGAATTCAATAAGATGAAGACACAAATCTTGTCTCTTTATAATCTATATTCTCCACCACCATGACAACCAACTCTTTGACTTTTATTTAGACATTTGAAAAACAAGCTGATCACTTTATATATTTGACTGTTCATACAACCTGTATTCATCATACCTGATCTTTAATTCACCAGAAAGTAAATATGAAAGAAACTTGAGCTGTAGATTTAAATCGACAAAAGCTCTTCTGAAACTTTTTGATTTTTTTAACTCAAATGAGTTGAATGTATTCACTCTGGGACGTTCTGACTCAAGCTGATGGTTTGAATTGTGGAGTCTGGACCTGTTGTTTCAGTCGACTCATAAGAATATGATGATGTGAGCCTTTCACAGACATTTTGCTTTGATTTTAACAGAATAAACGATGCAGCCACATTGAAAAGGCTTCAAACTAAATGATATCTGCCAATTTGTTATCAGTATCTGACCTTTTTACTCCTTATCAACCCCAGGAATCCATCTTGGTCAAGCTGTAGTTCGGACACTTTGTTTGCACCCTCCCTGCAGCATCGTGGGCAGACAGTCTCTGGACACGAGGACAGGGACAGATAGAGAGAGCCTCATTGAACCTGACGGACTGTCAGACCTGCTGCTCAGCTGCCTCTTGTTCACTCAGCCTGAAGGACGAGTGTCGTGGAGCAGGTTGGTGCAACAGCTGGAATCTATACAGCTGCTACTCACCTCTCTTCTGGGTCACCTCAGACACACCAGTGAAACCGAATCCTTCATTAACAGCTCAACAGGCTGCGTGTGTGAAATATTAAATGCGGTCAGTACATCCTCAATGTACCTGAAGTAGGGACGGAGCATTAGGAATTGCTTTTTTTTATGCTTGTAACAGAATATGGATCATATGGGCTCAATAAAGCAACTCTCTACTCGTGCTTTTAAAGATGCCTCAGAATTGAAAATGTTCTGTGAGGTTAAACAATGTGGTATCTGCAGTTTTAAATGAAAGTAGTGAAATCTAAACATGTGTCCTTCTCTGCAGGGGGAGAAAAATCAACCACTTATCCCCTCAGATGGAAAAAAGCCATTTATTTACAAAGATGCTTCACAGGGTGCAGGCACATGATTAGAAAACATCACAACATGATTCTGTTATAATCTCCTTGTCCGTTACATTTACATGGCAGTCATTTGTTCATAAGATCCCTCCACGTCCCAGGGTCAGTTCCAGTCAGGAACATTTCTCCACATTTGTCCCTTCGTCTCTGTTCCGCCTTTGTGCTTGTCGAGCTTCACTGACGAGAAATAACCAAAGTCAAGTTACAGAGGAAAGAAATAAACTCTGTGCAGGTGCATTTTTAAACGATGAAGGAATTCATTGCAGGTCGGTTTATTCCATCTGCGGAATCAAGTCCGAGTTTTAGGATTCAGAGATGCCACAGATACAGTTCATCTTCCTCACATGATCTATATGAGGATGAGGATGATGATGATGAGGACGATGATGATGATGATGATGATGAAGTGTCAACATGGTGTAATGTAATGTGGGAACCTGCATAGCAAAGTAAAGTATCAGACTCCACGTGTTTTCTCTCAGACTGAGTTTATCTGGTGTGCGGGATCATTTTGGAGTTGGAGACTCCTTTCCGGTCAATGATGGACAGCGTGTACTCTCCGTTGTCCATAATCTGGAGAGGCACCACAGCCTGCGTCTCCCCCTGCGTAAAAGAGCGCGTCGCGCAGCCCCGGCTCGTGGACGGAGTGGGCACTCTCCAGAACAAACTGCTGAGCATCTTCCTGATCTCCGGCCTCATCAGACAGTAAAGCACCGGGTTCAAACAGCTGTTCGCGTGCGCCAGGCACACGGTGACCGGGAACACGTACGTGTGCACCATGTAGTACGTCTTATCCCAGTTGACCGCGTTGAACTTGACCAGGACGCCCCAGAAGGTGATGGCGTGGTTTGGCATCCAGCAGCAGAAGAAGGATAAAACCACTATAGCCACAGATTTGGTGACTCTGGACCTGCGCTTGGGGTTGCTGCTCCCCATGCTCCGCTGCCTCACGAAGCGCAGGAGCATCAGGTAGTTGACGCAGACGATGAGCATGGGGATGATGAAGGCGATCAGTATCTTCTGGATGTGGTAGAGGGCGAGCCAGTCGTGTCCTTCAGGGAACCGGAGGAGGCAGAGCTTCTCCCCGGCGACGACGGTCACTGCGGAGAAGATCGCTGTCGGAGCCGTGGCCACGGTCGCTGCCACCCACAGCACCGCGCACACCCACTTTACGCACCGCGACCTCCTGTAGGTTTTCTTCTTCAGGGCAGAGGCCACCGACCAGTAGCGGGTCACACTCATCGCGGTGAGGAAGAACACGCTCGCGTACATGTTCATCACGGTGATGGAGAGGATGATTTTGCACATGGCGTCTCCAAACGGCCAGCTGAAGTCCAGCGCGGTGTCCACGGCCCAGAAGGGCAGCGTGAGGACAAACTGGAAGTCCGTCACCGCCAGGTTGATGATGAACACGTTGATCTTCGACCTCTTCCGACCTTGGCGTAACCTCATGAGGAAAAAGACGAGCAGGTTCCCCACCAGACCCATCGCGCACACCACAGAGTACACCACGGAGATGAGTATCCTCAGGATGGGGCTCCCGTCCGCGCTCATGTCGATGTCTTCGAAACTAAATATCCCATCGGCTGGAGAACTCAGGTTCAGAGCTCCGCTGTAGTTCATTATTTCATCCATCGTCAAAGTTAGAGACCTGCACCCTCAGCAGAGTTTGTACTGTGCGCACAGACTAGAAGAATCAACCCAAACGCCCCATGCGTAAAGTGTCTCTGTCGCCATTCAGCGGAGCCACATCTTCATCACACCTCTCTGAATGACAGCTGACCTGGAGTCTGCTTTTATACAGGTGTGTGATTCCTCTGCTGTGCCGCGATTGGTCCAATGAGATGCGACAGAAGACGCAGGCATAGAGCTCAGACCATCCCGGTCCCAACAACAACACACACCAGACCCGGGATGGATGGGACGCACGTCGCTGCGCACAGTGGGGGTGTACCCGTGCGTAAAATGCGTCGCGAATGGATCAAAGTGTGTCAAAAAAACACTTTTTATCAAGACTAGTCAGATAAAATGCACGAATTAAGACATGAAGCGTTTATGATAAGATGAATAGAGGAGGAATTAAATGCTGAATTCAAGCAGAACAGAATAAAAACGAAGACACTTTAAAACCAAAACCAAAACAGTTGGAAGCTGTTTAAAAGTTTTTGTTTTGAACAATATTCTAGATCATTTCTGTTCGTGCACCTCATTGTCTGTTTTGCAGATAAATAAAGTTAAACCATCAGCACCATCAACCATATCAGTGTGTGTTTAATTTGACTGTATCATCGCTGCAGGATTATTACAACAAACCACATCATCTGAAACCTGAAGCTGCACAGGAGCTTTATCCCTGAACCTGCGGGTCCATGGTGCTACCAGGCTCCCGCTAGAGGGCGCGCTAAGCCTGGGCAGATAAAGACCAACGATAAAGTGACATAACATTCTGGAGCTTAATGAACATTTGGATTTGGAACATAATTTATTCCAGCTGGTCCCATAGAGGAAAACACACTGTCATTGATTTTCTTGTAGAAATGAAATGAATATGATAAATAAGTTAATTTGTCTTCTGTGTTTACATGACTCCAGGCAGATGGAGTTTCCAAAGGTTTATGAAATCAGGAACTTCTTCAAACCTCCACAACAGTTTCATCAGGACTTTATGAACGTTTTTATCACACAGTTTCCACCACAGAGACAATTGATCTGATTCCTCTTCATGCACAAAGGGTTCATCCCTTTGTGCATGAAGAGGAATCAAAGATCTCATCGAGCCATGGCTAGAAATCACTTCTCCAGTGGATGAAACAGCAGGCCGCAGAAACTGGTCCTCATCTGACCCACTGAACCCGACTGACCCCTGATGAGGCTGAACCTTCCACTGGATCCGATTTCTTGGAGGAGCATTCCCCTTTAAGCCTGCAGCCCTCCGGAGAGATGGCCCATTGTCTTAAGTCCTCCCATCTGTGGGGGTGGCTCTGCACAAAGTTTGCAGAGGAAAAGTTTGTGAGCTGTCACTGGCTGTCGGGAGGAGACAGATGGAGAACAGAGGGCACAGCCACCCGTGAGCAGAGGTTCACACCGACTCGCAAACAAAAGAAGCGAGGACGCAACAAAGACGCACAGCGGAGGCGCGCGATGTCCGGGCCTGAGGTGGACAAGTTGGTCGGGTCTGTCAGAGTTTAAGTGCAACAAAGGAGAGAAGAAGAAGGAGGAGGAGAAGAAAGAGGAGAAGGAGGAGAAGAAGGAGAAGTGCATCCAGCGTAGATGGAAGTGATTTGAGTTTTCCAGTCGACGCGGTGTGTGAGAAGCGTTAAATGTTTCTCCAGCGCAGGCCAGAGTCCTGACAACATGACCCGGTTGGAGTGCGGGCGTCACGCGTCGTTTGGACGAGCGGTGTCTCCCCTTCACTTCTTCATCGCACTTCTGACGCTGCTGCAAACCTGCAACACGCTGCGATCATCACAGGAAGCAGGTGAGTGAGCCAGAAAACCTACAAACCAGCCAACATTCAAACGTGTGATGGATGATAACACCAAGGTCTCCGCTTGTCCTTTGTGCACATTTGCTCCACAAGTGCATCTCATCGCAACCCTGACCTGTGTTCACAGTCTCTGGGCCAGAGCAATTAAACCCAACATTCAGCTCACTGGGTCCTTCAGATGAATCACCGGAGGGTGAATCCCCATCCGCCCTCCCTGCAGTGCCCTTGAGCAAATCCCCCAGAGTCTCAGCTCTGTGCCTGACAGTGACCTCTGACCTCCCCCAGTGAAGGACAGGAAGCAGAATCATATCAGGACTGTAGAATGATTCATTATCATTCTTGCAATGGATCTGTGCTGTCCATCCTATGCTTTGCAATTTGTAGTAGTCGACATGCCCGGTGGATATCCTCGCATCAGAGAATTAATCCTCCTTTGTCTTGTGCACTGTCTCGTTTCCACCGCCAACACTTTCATCCTCTGGCTCTTCTTCGCAGTACGTGGTTTGGAAGTTAGAAGTCAGGGCCGTGCAGAGGAAACAGAAACAAGGAGTCGAGTAGAACTTAATTTGTCTCTTTTGTAAGTTGTGCAGCAGTTAAACACAAAATGATCAAAATTAAATAAGGCCATTCAATAAGATAAGAGGGGAAAACAACACATGCTGCACAAGCACTGATTTAATTAACAGGGCATGATGGTTGTATCGGTTCTTGGTTCTTCCTTGTGGGCAATATTAACAATCAGTAGGACACACACATCCGCCAAGGCCCAACAAATCCAGCTACACCAAACTGCACACACTCATAGATATCCGTTCCCTTAACATGCCTGATTAAAAAAGATCTGCCCCCACCAAGTTCACTGGAATTGCTTCCAGTAGTTTTTTGCATTCTTTTTCCTGGGGGTGAAAACATGACCTCCTTCGTCAGAGGTAACGATGATAAGTTGGATTTTTAGGATCTTTTAAGGCGCCATAGGCCTCTTTACAAAGGTTGGAACGTAAAATACTGGAGAAAATAAAACTGGTGGGCAAAAACCTTTGTGAACAGGTGCTATAAGACAGTTCCAGTGGGTGGAGGCTGCAACACTGAATATGCCGCCACTGTGTCGTTCACAGGCTGGTGCAGGGCAGGTGGAGCACAGGACCCTATGTTCAGAGATGGAGGGGTTGTTCGTGTGTGAAAGTCTACGGATACCCTCGGGAGTTCATGTCTGAAACAGCAGAGTGATGTGTCGTGATGTAGTTTGAGTGATTCAGTGAGGGATCTGAAGGAGAGGATGTAGGAGGCAGAATTCAAGGTCTGCAGCTCTGAAGCTCTATAGATGCCGGGGGTGGGGTTGGGTGCTGTCAGACAAAATGGATCCTTCTTTCTTTAACAACTGTTTGTGAAACAGCTCAGTGCCCCGTCTCATCCGTCATAAATTAGCTGAGAGAACAACAAAGAGCTGTCAGGCTCTGCAGACGTGAGTTGCTGGGGAGAGGCACCTTCCCGACCAAGTAAAGAAATCTCGGTGACAAACGTTGGTGCAGGAGCTTATTTTTTTCAAACTACTAAGAACAAGAAGAGAAATGGAACACATACGTCCTCTAATTCTCTCAGACAACTCCCCTGGCAGCAACATAAAGACGCCTGGCGATTCTGGGCTGTACATCAAATACCTCTGCCCAAGCCGAGCGACTTCTAGACGCAATCACAGGTGTGTTTTCCCACAGTGTCTTATTTTAGCAGTTATGATTGTTTCTGATCACCGTGGATAAATTGAAAGTCACATTCCTTTTCTTCTTCTCGTGGTAAACGATTGCTCGGAGACCCCCGGGGGGAGCCGCTGCTAAACGAAAAAGACACAACCAAGTCCCTTGAATTCAAAATGAAATAGTTGTGTGTGTTTTGTTAATTAGGCAACGCTGAAGGCAACAACAGCAGATGGAGAAAACCAGTCATGTGTTATGAGTTTTCTCCTCCATGAAGAGATTCACCACACAAGGAGCGCAAGTTCATTCTTCTGCCAAGGTCAAATTAAAGTTTTAAATGTTTAGAAGGTTAAAAAAAATCTCCATCTGGATCCATGTTTCATTAAAATACATATAATGAAAAACAGTCGTGCTGATTGACTGATGATCTCTGGAGGAAGAACTATTCCAGGAAGATTCAGACTTTGTTAAAAGTGGAATTGTGTAAGATTTAAAGAAACTAGTGCAGTGGATGTTTGTTCCGGAGCTTCTTCAGATTTATTCCTCATTAGTGCGTCCTCCTCAAACAGATGTGCTCCGTACTGTCACCTGTTATTGTCTGTGTGCTGAACGTTGTGTGCAGAGCTTTTTATAAACAGGCAGAATGAGGTTAGAAAACTGAGTTCATCCCACCTGGTTTATCTGCAGTGAGGATTTTAAAGTCAGTGTTTTCATAAAATGAAAATGAACCATCTTCAGACATAAGACCCAAACCTTTCAAAATAAAAGCTATGTAATTCTGCTCAGTATATTGCGGCAACAAAACAAAGATTTTGCTTTTATTATAAACAAATTGAAAAAAAACAGGAAGAGATTCTTTGAGTGTTGTTGCCATGACGGAGATCAGCGCTGTTGAGTCAGTCCGATATGGTGAAATAAAAGAAATCTAAATATCAAAATGATCTGGTGGCCCTTTGCAGTTCATCCGAGGACGTAAAAGAAGACACGTTCAATTCAGTCCGCAGGTTGAAGGCACTCTGCCCCGCCCCCACTGACTGCCGCAGATGTCTATTAAATTCTTAAAATATTGACCACGCTGGAAGTCCAGATCACACCAAACTCTTTGCTGCAGCTTCGTCTCTATGTATGATTCCATCTGATCTTTATGTGCTGCAGTATTTCACACATCATCAGACTTGGGCTTGGCAATTAACTGAAAATGTATTGAAACCTCATCCTTGCACCGTGTGTCGTACCACCCTGCCGCTTGTCCTCCGTCCCTCCCCCCCTCTGACCTGTGCCCACTTTACACGTTAACAAACAACGCTCCTCAGAAGTTATCGGGACCTGTACAGTCCTTGAAGTTTACTTTGTGTTTGTTTGATTCACTGGATAATTTATGAGACACTTATTTAAACACTCCAGCAACAAACATAAACGAGGTTAAAGTTTGAAATAATCGCGATACTGATTTGAGG